ATATGTGGAGTCTCACTGTCTTGGTGGTTGTTATATTATAGCAGTGAAGACGTACTGAACGTTAATAACAGTAAATGACACGATCTGATATGAAAGAACTTATGCTACGATCCCTCATTCTCTTCCTAAAACAATAGTAGGCTTAGTGCAGCTTTGATATCACCTCGCTCTAAAGCAAGCACGTCAGTTCTATGCTACTGGTCTCTGGTTTGCATAGTGTAAAAATAATATGAGAATGATAGAGAACAGCACAAGTATATATGATGAAAGTCCCTCCATGTGGATGATCAGCAGGACCTCTCACTGCATGCCACTGCACCATTCTATGGAATGACCCACAGAGAGTACTAAGTCCATAATCACAGTAAGGTCTCACCTGACAGGAGCAGTGGGTGCACGGCCCCATGTCCCATTCCTCCATGTTAACATACCTCTCTCCATTCATCACACATGTCAAGACCTGCAACACCCAGGTGCAACACCATAACACAAATTTACTGCAAATTGCGTTTACTGCACATGTAGCTATACAAGTGATCTGCTTGTCGTGCATATTAACAGTTTAAACTTTATAGCTACTTACCGTCTTTGCATATCTATATAGCACTGGGTGTTAATACTCATTGGAGTCTGGAGTCTTGGGCATAATTATAATTGTAGTACCACACAGTGTCATGTACATCATTACACCAGACTGTGGAATTATGGGAAGAAACGTACAGAGTTCTGGAGACTCGCGACTGCAGCTCTGAGTTCTCTCACTTCCTCCTCCATTGACGACATGATAATCGACCTCCTCTCGACTCTGGGGCCAGGATCTGCAGGGATACACATACATATAGACGTCCAACTGTCCCACTACGGGACGGTACATATTGTGTTGAAGGGTTTCAATATTGCTGTCCCGTTGTTGTCCATATTAACAGTATATACTACACAAGTCACATGACAGTTGGCTGACCGTCACATTCAGTCCAGAGGTTGAGGTCGACCACAGGGAGGTCACTGCAGGCTGAAAACTGAGCCACTGGCTGCAGGGAAAAGGCCTGCCTTGGGACCTGAGTTATGTTGTCAGCATTGTCACAGATGATCCTTGCGAGAGATGCTCTCTTGAGGGTTACAAGTTGGTCCGGAGTGAACTGGCCTCCTCTCTCGTACCAGAACCTGTGTCACAACATTACCATACACTGAAGGAAAGTGAAGAGAATCAGGAACTGAACTCAGGCGTCACAGCTGAAAGTCCAGTGTTCTGAACACTGAGCTATGTACAACTCTCAGACGTATTTGGGTGTTAAATCTCCAGATCACTACTAGAATATACAGTCACCTGTCTCCAGCTCTGAGTCTCTGGAACTGGTTGGAGATGATGCAGGAGAAGGTTGGTCCAAGTTGAGCCCCCGTCTCGACGGACTCCAGCAGACCCCCAACCCAGAGATCTATTTTGTCTACCTCTTCTCCATACACTTCCAACAGCTGCCTTCTCACCTGTGAAGGATAGTTCCCAGTTGACCTTTGTGTGTTAGTAGTATATACACCAGAAGGAACACATCATGCGGTGAGTAATAAGACAACAATCACCAGTCAGTAGTATATACACCAGAAGGAACACATCATGCGGGGAGTAATAAGACAACAATCACCAGTCAGTAGTATATACACCAGAAGGAACACATCATGCGGTGAGTAATAAGACAACAATCACCAGTCAGTAGTATATACACCAGAAGGAACACATCATGCGGTGAGTAATAAGACAACAATCACCAGTCAGTAGTATATACACCAGAAGGAACACATCATGCGGTGAGTAATAAGACAACAATCACCAGTCAGTTATCCTCACCGTTGCATTCCTAATGTCAGCTAGTGGATCATCAGTCTGTAGGTCTGCAGTAATGAGATTTAGTCAGTCATAAATAGGACTGCACTGGGATTACTACTACTGACAGAGACTCAATGAAGGTCAGTCCACATAAACTAGTGGCCAATGGTACTATATCCTGTGGATCGGGGCAGAAGGACTTACTGCAGAACTGTCTCCACTGGACGTACGAGGGAAGGCCGTGGTCCCTGCCTCTCTGTATGTTGAGAGCTGCCAGATCAAGACTAATGTTATGTGCCTGCAGAAGACAACAGATCAAGACTAATGTTATGTGCCTGCAGAATACGATATGTCAAGACTAATGTTATGTGCCTGCAGAAGACAACAGATCAAGACTAATGTTATGTGCCTGCAGAATACGATATGTCAAGACTAATGTTATGTGCCTGCAGAATACGATATGTCAAGACTAGTTGGCCCACGAAGTGAGCCCACCTTTTCATCTGAATACGGGATATTATATTACATACCGCAGTGTTCTACGTTATTCTAAATACGCATGAAACACGCGAGAAAAATTGAACTGCTTGCTTCACTTGCCAAAAATGTCATGCTAGTGCCTGCAGATTTATTAACTTTTATATAAGTAATGCTACTACATGCATGCCAAGGAAATGATAATAGGTCCCATACATTTTAACAAACTACGCAATTTGCTATGGTCCCCAGAGAGAGAGATGTATGTACCTCACCTGTTCAAAGAGAGCCTCCGTCAGGTTTGAGTTGAGACCAGAATGAGGAGCTCTCTTCTTCCCCGGAGTGGCCAAGAAGCCCCGCAGCAGAGGGTCAATCCCTCCCTCCTCCAGTAGTCGGTGTGGAGCAAAGAAAGCATGCCTCAGTTGCAGTGGGCCATATGGTTCTGGCTGGTAGCTGGTGTTCAGTCGATTGAAGAACGGCAGGATCTGGCCGTGCCCAAACCTGTACGCCGCCGTCGCAAACGCATTCGCTATTGTTGGGTTCACATTGGGGTCATAACCATGGTAATCTCCAAGTCCGGAGGGCCCAAGAATTGTTGGAAGGTATTCGGAATAAGCAATGTTCTGCCACTCAGCAATGACCACCCTGTGGAGTTCAATGAGACATCATCTCTACGACAATAGCTACAGTGTGGCACACATCAGGTATGGTACAGCTTATTGGCAACCAAAGGGACAGAACCCTGTCATTTGAACTACGCGATTCTGATGTTGCCACCCTAACTGTAATGGCCTATACGTGAAATGCTGGTACTTAAGTGAAATTTAGCAACCACTGCTGCATACATAGGTACATAAGGTTATAGCAGCTCATGCTTTAGGATCCACAATGGTGGTCTATATATGTAGGATATTGTTGATTGTCCAATATAGGGAGACCTTACAGTCTTCCTCAAGTTACACGGTGACAGATAAGATTAAGTGGAATGGAGTGTCTAAGAAACAGAAAGCTTAGATGGAATGCATAGGACAAAGGGTCTGCAGAATGGACAATGAGAAGAGGTCGAGATTCGAGGCTAAACCACTGTCTCCAAGTTGTGGATGTAGGAATAGGACAGTGAGAGGAACAGACCTGCGAGACTCCTGGAAGATGGTCTCTTGGTTCCAGTGAGGGTTGAGGTGACTAAGGTAGGAGGCCACTCTGTTGTGTTCCCTGAAGAATAATGTGTGCATCGCTGTCAGGCCAACCTGTCGACATGGAGACCAGGTAACAGAGTAAACATGTTAGCCATACACCCAGCCAGAGGTGTACTAGATTATCAGGTAGTGGTGGTGGTGGTGGTGTATACCTGTTCATTGGCTCTCACATCACCAGCTAGGAAGCACTGACTGCGTCCAGAATGGATGCCTGTACCACAGAAACAACACATATATAATTATGGTAGTGGACTATTTGCCAACTGAAAACCAAGGGATTTAGGAATCCCCGGGCCCATTCCTCCGTGGGCAGGGAACACCACGACCCCAACAGTTTCGCCATGTACAGTTCTGGTATCTGTACATTGCTATAGTGCCGTTTGGCAATTGCGAGCAGAGATTCTTACAAGCTGGCCCCAATAGAATGTAACAACCTCTGATCAAAGGGTGACTACGTATCCATAAAAGAAGGCAGATGGACAGACATACCGGTACTGCATTCAATGAGAGAGAAGGTGTCAAAAGGCAGGAATGGTTTCCCTGACGATGTGGCCACACCCTCCAGGAGCCATCCTTGTCTGGCAGGATCTCTCAGTCTCTCCGCATGTTCCTCTGAACTGCCGTAGATCTTTATGTGGGTGAGAGAGAAGGAAACAAACGTTTGGGGTCCAATTCCGTAACATAATGGAAAAGTCTACAACAAACATATAAGAAATAACAGAACAGCACTTCTCCATGTCATCGACTTGCAACGTGGTATAACCTGTTTCGCGCCTAAGTGATCTGTTGAAGCACCCGGTTTTGGTAACACGTTTTGTGGTTAGATCGCAGTCATCACTGATTTCTTCACTCACTACATTACTTAGTAACGCAATCTGTCACTTGGCCCTACAGTGCAACACAAGGGGCACGGTAGTCATGAATACCTGAGAACCATCAATGAATGAGGTGATCCCATTGAGCTGCTCGCGATAGAAGGCGGCAGAGCCGACAAGGAGAGATGACCCCCCGGAGCCACACACCCCCCCCGACCTGGTGAATGGCATGCACTGGGCAGAAATCCGTGGGTCACCGGTCTCTATGACGATAGGGAAACAGGGGGCGCTGTTGGAGCATTCGGTGTCACACATGGCACCAGACGTGAAGGAGGAGTCTGCAGGTGTGCCAGGAGCCAGGTCCAGATCATGGTCCAGGAACTGCCCAAACTGGAGGAGAAGGACCAGTAGAGAATGGATTCTAGAGCACACTTGAGCAGAATTCTGGGCCTTTACTATAAGTGCCCACTATACGCAAAACCTGCGCAAGCATGAATGAAGTGTGACTAAATATACGTATGTAAGTTAGGATGCTGATTCAAGTGCATCCATGGGCCTAAATTGTGTCCTCGCTTTAGAATACCACAACACAAGGGTCCTTGGGCTTGAAATACGCGTAGACTCCACAGACTCGTTGTCTAACAATACCCAAAATGTGAAGATGTGCAACTTAGGTCATGATAGACATAAGATTGGGGGTTTCTGCCCTTACTTCTTTAGTTTCTGAGTACACATGCAATTCAGGAACCGAAAGATAAGAAGAAACCTCAGTTTAGCTATAATGTAAGGTGACAGACCTGCATGAGCATGTGTGTGACGTCGGTATCAGGCTCCACGTTGTGTGACCTAATGACCCTCTGGCTGATGGTCCTGGCACTAGGCATTCCCCCAGACCACCCCACAGGCAGGCCCAGTCCGTCCTCATACACCGGAGCCAGTAGTCTGTGGAACGGAGTGTCAGCTGTACCCCATGCCGGCTGGGCCCAGTTGTTACACGACCCGTCCACTGAGCGGTAGCGACTATGGTGACAGACGTCAGAGCAGTGGGGGGTGGGGCTGTGCTCAAGACAACCAGACAGCTCAGCCAACAGTGTGATTTCACAGTCTGATAGTGCTGGTACCCCGCCCTCACTCTCTCCTTGGTGACTGCTCCGTGCAGCGTCCAGTGCCTGTTGGAAGACGTCCGCGGCAAGCAGGAGCTCGATGCTAGCATCGTCGGGAAGTTTGAGTCGCCGTAGCAACTGGTGAGGACTGGATACGTTGTTTATAGAGGAGTGGTTGAAGGCAAACATGACCATTGAGCGGATGTTACCAACTGCAGTGGCATCTATAACTCCTGTGGGGAGGGAGGGACATACAAATTATTGGCCAAGACGTAAAAAGTCGTTTGTGTGGCAAGTAGAATCCCAAGTTTACTTTTCGGTGGCCCTTGGTTAATTAAAGATACATAGTTAGCTTGCATGAACCCAATACATGGGCACTTTAGCAGCAAACAACCACTCGCCTCTGCGGAAGGTGACACAGCACTGTTAATATGCCCCCGAGGACTGACCTTCACATGAGATGAGAGCTCCAGTCACACTCAGCTGTGCTGACGCCTCGGAGGAGCCTTCTATTCCCATGACAACACAGCTGTAGACCCCCGAGTCGTCCATGGTGACGTGGGAAATGTTCAGACCAACCCCTGTTACCACGGCAACACGGTCAGAGGTTTCCAGCGGCTGGCCATCCTTGTACCAGTGGTAGGAGACGGTTCGCTGGTCACCAACACACCGCAGCACCACATTCTCTCCCGTGAAGGCATGTACGTGGCTGGGAGGAATGCTAACCCTCGGCCTCACTGTTCCTGATTAGAGGAGAGGGGGAACACAACTTCAATTATGCATGGTTCACAAGAATGTGAGATGGAGTCTTTGGGGGAAATGAACACTAGACACACAGTAAATGACAGCACAGAGAAAGAGGGACCCACCGAGGTAGGTGACAGAAATGGTGGCATTCCCACTGCCTGCCATGTTGGAGGAGACACATGTGTACTGTCCCGCACCCTCTGCTGTCATCTGACTGATCAACAGGGACCCATTGCCTAGCAACTGGTCTCCATCGGTTACCATCTGTATGTAACACCAACAAGAGGAATGTTTTAATTAAGTAGTTAACTGATTGATGTGTTGTGTGTATATATGGCTTCCAAAAATGGGTACACGAGAGCGGGAGGAAAAGAGGGGAGAGGGAGGAAGAGAGGGGAGAGGGAGGAAAGTGGGGAGCGGGAGGAAGAGAGGGGAGAGGGAGGAAAGTGGGGAGCGGGAGGAAAAGAGGGGAGAGGGAGGAAGAGAGGGGAGAGGGAGGAAAGTGGGGAGCGGGAGGAAGAGAGAGAGAGAGGGGAGAGGGAGGAAAGTGGGGGAGCGGGAGGAAAAGAGGGGAGAGGGAGGAAGAGAGGGGAGAGGGAGGAAAGTGGGGAGCGGGAGGAGGTAGGGAAAGAATGGAAGGTGGTACCTGTCCATTGTAGTACCACACGATGTCAGACTCAGAAGCTCCAGTAACAGAACACGACAGAACAACCCTCTCTCCTTTGAACACAGCGATGGTGGTCGCAACTGCTGTCACTTGAGGTACAACTGGGGGGATTGTAAGGGAGATGAAACAGGAAGGAACATTAGCGATTGCGGTGGCCAAGGAAAGGAAAGTAATTCTTCCATTTGGCAGTGTAGTCAACTGGGATAAGAAAATCAGCATGCTTTTCATAGCTTTAAATCACGAAGCTAAAACATTCATCAGACAATAAAAGAAGACAATGAATTTGTGCACCAGAGGTATCAAGTTGGAATCCTCTTATTGCTTTGTTTGTTGTTGCATGTCAGTGTAAAACCGACCAACATAAAAATGCAATAAAATACACAGGAGTTCTATTAAACAGTACCATAATAAAAAGTGTAAGTGTCTTTGTTTGTATGAAAACCTAACTCACCACAGCCTATCTCATCCAGAGACAAACTGTCGACACGGCGACCAGCGAGCTGGGAGGGTCTGGCGCAAGTGGGGGGAGAGGAAGATGAGGAGTGCAGAGGAGGGAAAGACGAGGCCGACACCATCCAACCAACTCCACAGTCACAATACAGAGGGTTGTTAGCGAGGTTGCTGCGGCAATGGAGTTTCAACATTGAACCCCCACACATTTTACATAAGTGTACTACATTGTGTGGAAGTTTGTGCCATTGGCACACTGTGCATGTGTAAACCATGGAAATATGTAAGACCTAAAAATTCCTGCAGATTGGAAAATTCAAAAACAAATTAGTGGGTGTGGTCTCACAGAGTAGTAAGGGCTGGGAGACCTGCAAACGTTTCCCTGGAGACTCGCGTGATGTCATTACCACGGAGATCACTGTGAGGGAGGGAGAGAACAGATGTTACGTGCAGATCTCGTATTTGGAATGTGTTAACGCAAAACCGATGCAATGATCCTTGCAACGAGAGGTGGGCGGTTGCTATGCCGATGCCCACTCAATTGCATGCACCATTGGCAATATCTTGACCAAACTAGCAAACATGCAGATCCAATGTCATGGGGGTGTGGCAGATATAGAGGTTTGGCCTCTAACCAACATGTCTTGAACATTAGTAAGTCCAACACAATGGATCCCTAGGGAGACAGTTAAAGAGCCGATCATCAAAGTCACATTGCTGATTATGGCAATTGCATGTTGGACTGCAATGGTGTAAAACAGCTTTGGACAGACACAGACGTATTACGGCTAACATGCGTGCATGGCGCAACTTGGTTCCATGAGGTATACGTCTTAAGTGTATGGGGTGTGCTGCATGGACCCATACATTTAGTTGCATCATGTCATAGTCTTTACTAACAGTTTTTCCAACTTGGCCAGGCCTGAGAATGCTCCTCTAGCAACTGAAGTAATGTGGTTGCCATGGATATCCCTACAGTGGTAGAGAGTAGCACTGTTAGGGAGACAGAGGACATCAGAGCTGCAGACTCTAGCTGCACGACATGACAGCTACAACCATGTAGGTGAATGAGGGCACACCACCAGAGGGGAAGTGTGGGGCAAATCAAGTGTCCATTATAAGGAGGTTTGAAGGTTAGTTGGTGGGTCCATTGGGGGACTCCCTGTTTCCACGTTGTGTATACTGCCAGTATAATAAGTAGTAACATTATACCACCAACAGTGTACACAGCAGGTAGTAATCAATGAGCATGCAGCACAAAGAACACGAACAATGGGTGCAAAAGGTCAGTAAGAATTAAAAAACAGAAGATTAAATGCAGAAAAACAGTTATACTCTACATAGTGTTTGTGTGGACATTGTGAGGTGCTCCATTCACTCGTTGAACCCACAGACATTGTTGCTGGGTGCAGCTATAGGACTGAGCCTAAAGCTGTACACTCTTGAAAATATGTTGGAAACAACTCCTCCACAATAGCACATTACATACATCCAGCAAAGGTTCAGTAAAATGTTCCCAGTCAATATTATTAATTTGTGGAAGATAGCTCTGCAAAAGATTTTCTTTTTTAAAAGATGCCCCCTACAAGGTGACAAGCATGCACTAGTACCATCGCCGCCTATTACTATATACTTCATGACAGTCAGTTGATGACTCACAGTGTGCGGAGGTTGAGGAGGTCAGAGAATGTATACAGACCCACGGAGTTGATCTCATTCCCAGCCAGTGACCTGAGGTGAGGAGAGAATCCATCATCGGCAGCCTTACCTTCATTCTTGACATTCCTTCTCATTACTGGTGATAGCTCCAGCCCAGTACAAAGGCAAACCGACAACCACTACAGACTGTCCGTATTATAGTGTCACTAGAAGATGCCAAGATGCCATGCACTGCCAAAAGTGCGTATTTCTATGATTCCAACCAACTAACCCCTTCTCTTATTGAGTGATTAACAAATTTTGCATTATACTAACTCACAGGTTGACCAGAGATGGAAGGTTGGAGAAATCGTTTCTTTCAATACTTTTGATGCTATGACCACTCAGATCTCTGTGCAGAAGAGAGCGAATAATTATCAGTATGAATATCACTTCTAGGAATTGATGGTTGCAAGCCAAATGTGTATCCAGTGGCTAATGGCACAAACAACCAGCACTTAGCATTTCATTATTAGGGAGCTCCGGGAGCTACGCATTCATGACGCGCGGCTGGGGCTAGGCTACAGCCGTCGCATCATCAACTCGCAACGGGCTTCGAAATGACGCCAACTCCAACACTTACAGTCTTCTTTATTCATAGTGGCCTCCTGCGCTACCAAATGTATTTACTACTCACAGTAGCTCGGTGGTGGAGGGCACATCGCCCGGTACCCTATACATATCCATGCTCATGTGAGTGCAGGAGACGGACTTGGTCGCTCCGCCGGTGCCGCTGCACGTGCACAGCACACAGATCGTTGCATCGCAGCTCACGAACACAGCGGCAGCCAGGAAAACCACAAGTAGTGAAACTCCCTCACGACGTGCCATGAGAGATACCATCAAAAACGAAGTAGTTGCCTGCTTTGCGAGCTCGCTGGGCCTTCGGCGTTTTATCCTCCGCGTCGTCCCAGCTAGCTAGCTAGCTAGCTGGGGTGCGGTGCGCATGCGCACAATTGAAGCCCCCGCGCGCGTACGTACGTGACGACACACTCTAATTGTCTCTCTAGCTAAACAGAGCAACTTTTGCGAGGGCTGAACAGAGGGACGTTATGAGGCTGGAGCTTCGTCTGGTTATCTCTGTGCTGTTGTCTGTGGCTGTAACCCAGACTCCAGTCCCCGGCAGACCTACTGGTAAGCGTGGCTCCCGCGCCTTTCCCTTCCTCTCGTGTGCATTGTACTGTTTGCTGCCTGCAGGCTACATCTACCAGTCGCCGTCCTCTCCAAAGATTGTCGTTGAAGCCTTTTATGACTTGTGAGTAGTTCCTCCTGGGCTTGCTATATATAGCCTCTCACTTTCTTCCCACCGTTTATTTTCTCATTGATTCCCGGCAGACTCTGCGTTGACTCCAAGGCCAACTGGCCAGTTCTAAAAGAGGTAACGTGAAGAAGTGTCTCTTGTTTGCTCGAACCCTCCCCTCCCTCTTTAGGTTTTTGGTCAGTTCTCAGACAAAGATATAGAAGGAATCATTCACATTTTCCCCCTCCCGTAAGGGTGCACCCTTTTCTCTCCTCTCTCTCTTTCAGGTGGCAAATTTAAGGAATAAGAAGGAAAATATATAATAGAAACACCCAGGAAAGAATCGAACTCTGATTCTATGCCATCAACTGCACGCACACCATGCACACTATTCTTACCCTCTTTGCCACAGGAAGTGCTTTACCTTATGTAGACATTTCTCTGTCTGTGTGACTGAGTCTGCACTACATCAGTCATGGCTAGTTGTGCCCCTCTCTCCTCAGTTACCATCACAACGCCTACTTCATGCAGCAGGCCTCAGTGGTAGTGAGACAGACTGACCCCAGTCAGTTCGTCAAGATGATGGAACTTATCTTCCAACAACAAGACAGTGAGTATATTATTATTATACTGTAAAGTGGGAACTCTTTGATTGTCACGCGATTTTTAAGGCCAACACGCACAGTCCAACTTTGAAGTCGTATGCAAGTTCAATGTATAGGTATATATGTATTATAGTCAATGCAACTAGTTGGATACACTGTGACTTCATTCCACGCAACAAAGTTGCAGCAGCTATTTATTACGAAACCCTCTTGATTCCTGACACTGTGCAGTGTTCCTGACTGGAGCTGTGAACATGACAGAGCCACAGGTCCAGAAGATGATAGCAGAATCGCTAAGTCAAAACTTGCCTGTGGACTACAACAGGTTGGCTGCCACCTCTTGCTTTATGTCACACACCCACCATACACACTGAGGCATGAACCTGCAGTATAGGTTTAGGAAGTTATTAGAGGGATATTCCTTGCCAAAGTTTCTCTTCCTCCTAATTTCTTAGTCTTACCACTGAACTGTTCCATTTCTGTAGAAGGCAAAAATCACTATCCTCATTATTTAGGAAGTGTGTGGGATAACAATATGATATCCCTATATACCATGATGTTACTACACTCTGAATATTATTGTACTCTACCCTGTTAACCTCACTTCCTGCAATTTTGGTCTTATATGGTAAGAGATTTCGACCTATCAGATTCATTTGAAGCAGTTTTGTTGCCCGCCAATGTTGGAGAGCCTTATGAACCACCATACATGGAAATTTATTGCCATAGTGACCAGTTTGGAGGATTAGGCATATGTGTCTCTTGTTGTATACCAACAGGAGGTGGCTAATATGGTGGGAGGTTTACATAATGTCTTCCCAGATAATAATTATGGTGGGAGGTTTACATAATGCATTCGTAATCACTCACTCCCTAACACCCACATACATTGATACTGTGTAAACATCCTGACAATGTGCACAGAAAACAGTCTCTCCTCAAACCTTGCTCTCTAAAAGGCTAGTTTGTAGGTATGTGTGGTTATATGTACTTGGGTCCCTATCTCGCTCCAAACTTCTTCTTGTTTAATTTCCCCATATCCTGTATGTTTTGGCTCTCCCCTATCTTCCTCTTTTTCCGCCAAACTTTAAACTTTCCCTCCATATTCTTTTCCCTTATCTCGCTCCAAACTTTGTCTTTTTTCTTCTATTTTGTACCAACCATTGTCTTTTCACTCGCCCAAAAGAATTTGTTCGACTAGTAAAGTAGTTAGCACATTATGCCTTTTGGCTATTGTGTGAGAGCAGAACATTACTGTATCCATGAACTGCCACAAATGCAAGTTTGTGTTTCTGCCCAATCACTCACCATGTACATGAAGTATAATAATTCCACGTTATGTTATGATGCAGGGTAATGGAGGGGTTCACTGATGAAGTGGTGACCAGAGAAGCCCGCTATGCCTGGAAGTATGCTGCGTCTCGTGCGGTGACTGGCACCCCACAGTTTCTGGTGAATGGAGTACACGTTCCGTCGGCTCCCAATTACTCCGTCCTCGAGTGGTTTCAGTTTATCAGTTCTCTCCTAGACACTCCTTACTGATTACCTCATTGTTATTACCCCTTGGTTGATGATTTGGTTTGTATAGCTTTTTGTGTGGATTTTTCAAATGTTTTTTTAAAAACGAAATGTGAAATTGGTGCGGGGATAGGTAAAATGATTGTGATGTGACTAGAGACTATGGTGAAGGAGGAAAGAGCTGATGGCAGTGGATGATGCGCCTGAGGTGAAAAAAAGAAAAAAAAACGCTGAGACAAGGATTCGAACTCGGACACCTTAACTAGAAGTGCACGTGCTCTTATCAAACGCATGCGCGTATAGCTAGGGTGTACGTATTACCGCATGCGCACAGCTCAGAGCGCGCAAGATGAAGCATCTTTGCTACTTGTTGCTGGCGCTAGTAGCGGTGATGTGGAGAGGAGAGGTGGTCGGCGACGAGAAATGTGGCAACAACGCACCTAGGTATCTCTCGGTGGACTGCGCTATACTGGCCGAGCACGATACCAATACATCATGTCGGAAGAACATCACCACCGATGGCCGAGCGGCCGTGGACCAGTGTCATGGCTCTAGGGCTGTTTGCAAGACCTACACGGGCATGGGGCTGAACATAACGTGCCGTGTACCGGGCCAAGACGGTAACGCCGTGGTCAGTGAGGATCTGGAGGTGCACAGAGATGGACGAAGACTTGGGAATGATACGCGGTCTTCTTTTGTAACGGCGGAGGCCGAGGGTCAATACGAGTGTCTGTGGAAGGCGAACCAGAGCTCGTTTGCCAACCGCACTGTAACCGTAGATGGTACGTACATGTGCATATTCTCCCATTTATGTCCCGTCATGGGGGGTGGTTTCTGTTCAGACGCAGTGTACATCTTATGGGAAAACCCTACTAAGTGGCACTGCGGGACCATTTCCATCCAGCTGACTGACGGAGTCAACCGCAACTGCAGCAAAATTGACACCACTGTCCACACCTTGGGTCCAGTCACGGTGAGGTTCAATGTACTGGGAGCTCGGCCCATCTCTCTCAGTGTTGACATGGTCTGGGTGGACCACTATCCCGTGACCCTTAACTTCTCTCTCAGTAGCCACATGGCTCTGAGTGACAGCATCTCACATGTGAGCACAACACCTAATACTGTATACTGTATGGAGGACCACAGTATTCTCTGGGAATTTCTCACCTAATGTAGAAAGTTGTCGTGAGACCTGATAAACTGGTGTTTGTGGATCAACAGTCGGTCAGTGGCTCTCTAGTGGTGACAGGGAGTAATTCCAACCACTCCTTCTCCATGTGTGTGCCTCTCACCTTCATAGGAAGTACGTTATAATGCTGTTTTTCAGGCTGACTTATGGATAAGTACAGTGGTGAATGTTCCACTGCAGGTCCTGTCTTGTTCCCCAACAAGAGTCTGCCAGGTAATGTCACGGTAACAGAGGGCCAGCCGGCAGACTTTCACTGTGACGTCAAGACGACTCGCAGTGGAGGACTTTCCTTTACTGTCGCCATCTTCCTCAAACCTCCCTCTTCCAACTTCACTGAATGTTTTAACCGTAGCTTCTCCCAATCTGACAGCTACGTCCAAAACAACCTCAAAACAAATGGCAGTTGTGATGGTTTGGTCTTACGCAACTCGTCCTCTGGTCAAAACTTTGATAAGGTTCACCACCTCACAGCTTCCTGGCTGCGTCCCTCCATCGCACTCTCGGGGGCTGAAGTGTTGTGTGCTATTGCCTCCAGTGGGATCACTCAGTGGGCCCAAACTGCTACCCTCACTATCCTCCCCTCCTCCCCCTTTTCCCTCCCCTCCCTCTCCACACCAGTCCAACCGTCCTCACAACGCCCAGAGCTCAGAGCCCTTGGAGCTATCTCCCTCCTCCTGGTGGCAGCTGTCTTGTTCCTCGGAGTTCTTCTCTGGTGGAGATACCGAAAACAGAGCTCCACCATCCAAATCCCTCCCAAACCTGACGAGAGTATGTCACTATAATATCATCTAGGACTCTTTTGAGTTGTGGTGTTATGGCCAACATACATAACAACGTGAACAGTGCAAAACATTTTCCAAAATTCTCATGCAACTTCAAAGTATTGGTGTGCTGTCAGTAGTACAGTTGCCTCCAACTTTGAGACTTGCTGCACAGTCCATCATACCCATACATTGAAGGTACTTTTATCTCACGTAACAAAGTTGCCCCATGTTATATGTTGCCCTTTAGAAGCATGTTTTCATGCAAGACTGAATACCAAGTTTTGGTGGTACATCTCGTGTTACAGTTTGTAGTGTCAGTGGAGGAACTTCCTTTTTTGAAAATCACTGTTTGTGACATTGGGAAGCAAAAGGGCCACTACTACTAATGAACCATTGTGTATTATGTACAGTGAAACCTATGTAGGACACTAGGTTCTGCCCCTTACAATATTGTTTTTCAACTGTGTATGAGTCTCTTTGTCAAGAATACAGCATTTACTGTATCTTCATGCGTACAGTCACACCCCCTCCTTCTCTCTCTTCTCGTCTTACTGTAGTACCACTTGCACAGACCTCGCTACCATCAAGTGTAGCCAACACCCCCACCACTTCCCATCCTCTCCTCCCCTCCATCACCCTCCCTCCTTCCCCCCACGCCAGACTCCTCGGCTCAGGCCAACACTCCTCCGACAGTATGGACTCTGGACTGAGTCTGGGAGACAGCGGAGAGGGGTCAAAGGTCAGGGACCTAGTATTGCGCAGCCGGCCTGGAGTTCTACTTGGTTCTGCCCCATACTAGTCGTTAGTGTATTCACTTTCAATGTTCACAAAGTGTCCCTATATTTTCACTGCAATACACTATACCATTTCTCATGTGGTCGGTGTGGTACTGTCATGCATGAGTGTGATATACAGTAGTTAGATTTTATTCTAGTAGCTAAGAAGGTTTGCTTACCTGTTGCCATGACTACATTTCTGTCTCCGCCCCCTCAGGTTGTGGTGGGTGGTAATCAACTCCAGGTGACGACGGGTTTCCGTAGCACCAGTCTTAACGACCTGTTTTTCCCTCCGTCTCGTGACGTGTGTGTCTATGTCAGTTACTGCGACTCTCAGGTTATAACTAATGCTACTGGTGTATACATAATGATGTGTGGCAGGGGGTGGTAGCCAGTTGGTCTCCATCTCCAAGTGTTTTGGTATACTTTCAATTGTGTCTGTATACTGTAATGCATGATTCGTGTTTTTAGTAGACACAATCTCTCCACCGACCCACGAATGTACATCTCAAAGGACAGCGTACAGTTTGGCATTGCACTGCGTCCATAGACATCTGTGTAGAGAGTTGGAGGGCTAGCATTTTTTTCGTAAATAAGTAGCATTGGTGTTCCGCTGTATTTTACTCTGCCCCATAGGGTGATTGGGTGAGAGAATGCCTGCTTCCTCTACTACACTCATTTCAACAAATCACAGTCACCGACCACGAAGGTCACATGATCGCCGGCAGTGTCATCTCCGAGGAGAGACTCCGCCTACTTCACTCCGCTGATAAAGTTATTGCCGTTGTTTCCCCTGACTACCAACAGAGTGAGTGGTGTTGCTACGAGCTACAGCACGTGATCCAGCAGTCACCACGTGGCGCTGGGCACCTCATTCCTATTCTCTGTGCCAGCTGTCGAGAACTTCCGTCCACCATAGCAACCCTCCACCCCATCTCCCTGGACGACCGTCACTGGCAGCACAAACTTAGAGTCGCCATTCGCAGACACCATCATCACTCCAATTAGTGCTCACCTCATTCCAATTAGTGCCCATCTCTTTATTACACAACTCACCTCTTTAAGACGACATTTCTCAGACTTATGTAGGACTTTTTCTGAACTGTATTCATGTTCGAGTGTCTCAATGACTTTTTGTATTATAAGTGCTGAGTATTGTAATGGTGAACTTCACCTAGGCAACAATATAGGGATTGTGTGATGGGTTGTGTTAGGGGTGTCAGTGTGCTCAAATCTGTTCATAACTATGCCTCATGTATCCCATCCCTATCTTGTCTCCCTTTCTTTTTATACCATCCCTATATGCCTCTTTTAAATTCGCAGGATTTTTAATAGATGAAAGGGATGGGTGGAGTCAGGGTTGATGGATAGTGGTGAGTTGTTTTGGGTCAAAGACTGCCTCTTGAAGTCTCTTTCTTTCATCCTCTTCCTCCTGATGATGATGACCAAGTGTCTTTTCTAGAGTGGTGTCCTTTATTCAGAGGTTTCACTGTATACATGAGAAGGTAGACCTACCTGTGAGCTGAGTGAGAGAGAAGAGGAGGAGGAGGAGACAGGGTGACTGGATGTAGTGAAGATGATGTCAGTAGAATACCTAATAATGAGGTGCAAAATGAGAAAAAGAGCACTGGAATCAAACTCAGTTCATATGCATCACTTTTAGCCACTAGGCCAAGCAGTATATAATTTGTGGTAAATGTAACGCAAAAGTACACACTAAAGGCCCACTACAAAAGTACACACTAAAGGCCCACTACAAAAGTACACACTAAAGGCCCACTACAAAAGTACACACTAAAGGCCCACAAAAGTACACACTAAAGGCCCACTACAAAAGTACACACTAAAGGCCCACTACAAAAGTACACACTAAAGGCCCACTACAAAAGTACACACTAAAGGCCCACTACAAAAGTACACACTAAAGGCCCACTACAAAAGTACACACTAAAGGCCCACTACAAAAGTACACACTAAAGGCCCACTACAAAAGTACACACTAAAGGCCCACTACAAAAGTACACACTAAAGGCCCACTACAAAAGTACACACTAAAGGCCCACTACAAAATGGAAACACCGGTTTAAAAGCTCACCAGATGAAGCCTCAGGTCTACTTTCTACTGCTGTGGCTGACGAGGCGATGACATCATCATCTGTTGACCCAGTCAAGTCATAGTAACTGAGGAGAATGGAGAGGTTAGTACCTGCATAACCTGCAATTTGACATGATTTCTAAACTGAACTGTGACTGCAGCTGGAAAGGTAGACAGCAGGCAATGCAGCAAAACTTCTCTAATCAGGGCACCAATTGGACAGAAGACATTGTCCATAAGATTAGAGTGGTGTCTCTATTTCAGTTAGAGAGAGAGTATTGCTACTCATTCTCTGGAGACATGATGGCAGACTAGTGTGGGTGTCTGTATAATGACGCTAACAGCAGATTGCCATATCTCATGCAGTCATGTGTGACGCTATGGATCACTAGCTGACTGGTATATACATTATTAGAGTGTCTGTCTACAGTGGAACTAGGAGCACTATTGCTCATTGTCGCATTGCCCATGTGACGTAGATATGTATATACAATGACTCTTAGCTGACTGGTATACGTGGCAGCATGCTTGCACGATTCACACCCTCTAGTCCACTTTAAAATGAACTGTGGTATTCATAGATACACCACCAACAGAATGCTTGTCAAGTCTGACCTGTATCCATGTATCTGGCATGCAAACTCCCAAGTTCCCAGACAAACCACTTCACACACACATCATGCACAGCAATAGGTCCACCTGGTCTGGACTTCAGACTGAATGTTATCATCATGCTGCTCCTACTTCAGGCTGGTAGGTTAGTAAAAGTTGGCTCATGAATGAGGATAGTGAGTAGGGAGCACATGTGTGTGTTTGGGCCATCCACAAACACAACAGCATAAAATGGAGTTTATTGCCCATGCAGGGAGTGCTTTAGTTTGTGCACATCTCACTCATTTACCAACTGAACTTTGACAGCCCAAATACATGGATCTATAATACAGCAAGAGAACTTGGAAACGTGGAGGAAGAGGAAAAGTGAGATACCTACCTCTCCACCCACTGCTGCAGTCTGCGAGCCAAAACATCATTGCTCGTTGCCTGACGACATCTGGGGCTTTTCTTAGCCTCGTGAGAGGAGAATAGATCCTCTGACGTCACCGCTACACACCTCAGCTTCTCCCTCTCCTCCTCTCCCTCCTCCTCCTCGCTACTGCCTTCCATCACTCGCGAGGGCTGCGAGTTGTTGACGTAACCTTTGAACTTGTCCAACGGAAATCACACGACTGAACGCCAGCCACACAACCAACTGTTGTATACGTGTGTTGAGGAAGACAAAGGCGAGGGATATGGCGGGGAAAGGCGGCGGGAAGCTACACGAGAAGCACCAGCTCATTCTGGCCAACATGTTGAGGGAAGAGGAGAACAGATTCTGTGCCGACTGCCACGCCAAAGGTTCGTATCAGATACTGCTCTGTTTGTGTTGGGAATTACAGCTTCACTCAATGACGTTGTGCTGGTCACAGTTTACCGCGTGTTTTGGTCTTATAGCTATAGTGGTTGGGTATGTACAGACTAGTTACATTATGGGGGGAATGTTCCAGTCAGACCTGGTACATCTGTACAGTCAAGCATCCAATTCCTAGGACTGCCCCCCAGATCACACATGTAACTCTAGCATGTCCTAAAACTTACCAGACTGTTTTCTACAGCGTACCTGAAAGAACAAATTTCCTGGCTACACAGTTTCTCTAGAAAACTTTCTTTGATGACTCCCAAATTTTATTCCCCGTTGCTAAGTCTCCCACGTTGTGTGCTACAGGACCGCGATGGGCGTCTTGGAACCTGGGAGTCTTCATGTGCATCAGATGTGCCGGGATCCACCGTCACCTCGGAGTACACATCTCCAAAGTGAAGAGTGTTAACCTTGACTCGTGGACACCTGAACAGATTGCTGTATGGACGCAGTCTCTAGCACTTTGCCTCTCTTCTTACTAGTACAACATGAAGATGAGACAAATGCAAGATGTTTCATGCTATACGAAGTTCACTGTGTGTGTTGGCCTCTTTTTCCTTATCTCTTTTCTCCCACACTCTGCTGATTACCATCGTCTTTCTTCAGTCTACAGACATAATTATGCATGTTCTGCTTCATCTTCATCAACCACGCCTCCTACAATTACTACCTCTCTCTCTCTCTATTCTAACAGACCATCCAGAAAGGAGGCAATGGAAAGGCTAGGGACAAATATGAAGCTAATCTACCAGCCAACTTCAGGAGACCACAAGATGACTAGTACGTTTGCATTGTTAGTTTTGGTGACTCACTTTTTACCCGCTCTTTCTGACCTCTTCTGACCTCTTTCTCCAGTGGCGTCGAGCAGTTGATTCGCAGTAAGTACGAGAGAAAGCTCTACATCTCCAAGGAGTCCCCAGCCCCTGCCGTAACCACGGGGAACAAGTCTCGCTCCAGCCATGCCCCTTCCCCTGCGGGAGTGGTGAAGGAGAAGAAGTCCAGCAGTGGCGGGAAGAAGACACACTCTCAACAGGAACAGAAGAAGGAACAGCAGGTGTGTGTGTGTGGTGTGTGTGTGTGTGTGTGTGTGCAGTAAAGTAGAGCTGTTGAGTGTATGGCCAACATGCACAGTGCAGTTTTGTTGTGTGAAGCAAAAGTCTCCTGGTATGGGTATTATATGATAGGCCCATGCAGAAAATGCACATTGATGTAATTGCTGTGTTGTCATGCCAACAGCTGTTGTCAGTGCCACGCCCTCCTACTCAAAACAAGCGATCACCGACTCCGCCCAATACCTCTAGCTCTTCCCCCAACCTCATCTCCATGACAACCACAACAACGACATCGTCGCCAGGGCAACCGGTGGTGGACCTAATTACTGGTATGGGCTCCTCGTCCTCGGGTGCTCCGGAAGCATCGCCATGGCAATCATCACTACAGCAACCATCGCTTGGTGGCGACCCCCAGAAGGCAGTAAAGGATAACATTATGTCACTATACAGCAGCCAGGGTCAGAGTTCATCTGGACTAGGGCACCCTCAGGTAATGCTGTTTAACAAAAAGGTTTTGGCGATTTTCATGAATGCTGTGGGTTTTTGCATGCACACACTGGGAGTCACGAAACTTTTCACGAATGGTGTAGCTGCACAAATTTTTTTGAACTTCTGTGACCACATAATGTCATACAGGTGTATGTCCCTCTGACGTTGACATGTACACATACAGGCGTACACTGCCCAGGGTTTTCCTGTCAACCCCTATCACTACCAGCAACAGCAGATGGCTGCCATGAGAATGGCTCAGCAGCAACAGATGATGGCTGCCCAGCAACAAGTCAGAGAGGTAAATTCTTTACTATAATGGAGCTACCAGAATAGTCTCACCTCATTCCCCCTATCTCTCCGTCAGGTAGAGGATAAGATGAGACAGCTAAAGATGCAGCAAGGACCAGGGGGAGGAGGGCAGTCTCTGGTTGCTAATGGCGACCCATTCTTCCAGCCCACCCCGGTTGCCAGTGGCCAACATGACGTCATGTTTCCTCGCCAGTCCAGTGGAGGAGCAACTCTCAACCCTGGCCTGTGGTAGCCCCTTCCCCTTTCTCCTTATCACAGCATGTGACTGAGACATACTGTATAATGCTTACTTACCCCATACTGTGATATTATGTGCATTGATATAATGTACACATGTGTAGGCATTTTCCTCTATTTATTATTACTTTTTGTATATATCATTTTGTTGACCGACCTATTTGAAAGGCGAACGTTTTCTTCCTCTTTTACGGTAGTGTTCATTATGGGCATTTTGTCTTTGCGGATGTAGTTGAAACTTAGACAGAAATCCTGGTCACACACTCGAGGTTCTCGCGAGGGCTGCGAGGCACGGGGAGCAAAGGTCAAAACCCATAGATGTATATAGCGCATGCGATACATTCCAGTCTACACGGACTGTGGCTAATGTCGGTGCTTTGGGCCTCCTATAGTCGAAGTGAAGAAGGATAGATAGCGAGAGGTAGGGGTAAACGATGGGTAGTTGCTGCGGAAGACCACCGACCAATTCTAAGAGAAGAGACAGAAGAGAAGACGGACACCAGCCACCACGTTTATACCAGCCACCGCCGCCGGACCTCGGTCCGCCGTACGGAGGACCTGCCCTCGCCAATGACACAGGGACACTAGGAGGAAATGTCCGAGGATACATACCGCAGGTACCTACTAGCGAAAGTCCTGCAACAGACTCTATGACCATGTGTGAATCTGTTTAGGGGCCGATATTTGTAGCGTTGTTCGACTACGAGCAACGGACGAGCGAAGATCTGACGTTTAGAAAAGGAGAAAGACTGGAGATACTGAATGCACAGGTCAGTGATAGGGTGAAAGAAGAGATGGAGAAGAGAGAGAGAGGGAGGGAAGGGAAGGGCAGATAACACCAGTAGATCATATTGCATCCTCCCTTATTTAGCTGAGACTGTCTCTCTCACACCCTGTCCTCCCACCACTACCTGTACCTCTCATATGTCACCACCCTCTTCCCCCTCCCCTTCTCGCCATTCTCTCTTACCATACATGCTGTGAAGCCCCTCCACAAGGACGCCTCTGTAATGACTAACAGTTCTTGCATGCAATTTAACCCCAGAAATTGACATTTTCTTCCTCTGTAATGATTGTTCCTCCCTCCACCACCACTAATGTAATGCCACCCCTCCTCCTCTAGGACGGTGACTGGTGGCAGGCTCGAAGTCTGGACTCCATGAGAGAAGGATACATTCCAAGGAACTACGTCGCTGAATACAAGACTATTGAGGCTGAAGAGTATGTCTGCTTTTCTCTGTGTGTGTATTTCTGTCCAAACTCCCTCCCTCCCTCCACTGTCCGTAAGAATGCCCAGAATGTGTGAGAACTCCCAGTTATGGTAATGTGTTGTTCTGCAACAGAAGCCAGCAAGCCCATGGCCAATGGGCGAACTTTGACCTTAGGGGGTGTGGTCACCCTCCCTCCTGGGATGTAAGGGAAAATCCCTCCCATCCAACGAACCCATGGCTTCAAAGAGGGAAGCCTCACAGAATGTTAATTTGCAACTGTTATATACTGCATTGCTCCTCTCTGAGCAGAATGTTGTATATATATACCTCAGCACACATACTGTTATCAATCATACTACACGTAAGTTTTAGAACACTGCAGTAACGTGACTTATACGTGACCATTTTTTCACATCAGGTTAGAGTACAGTACAATAGACACTCCAAATAAAGGACACCTCAATAAACTATCTGGTGTCCCTAGGAATCTGTGGAGGGTAGAAACTAGTTCGAGTATCACTGTATCGAACACACACATTGTACTTTCCATCATAGCTATACGTACTTAATGTGATGGTGTGTCCCTGCCAGATGCTTTTGCCACACCACTAGAAGATGAACTTTGTCACCTCCTCTCTCCTCCTGTAGCTGGTTCTTTGGTCCCATAAAGAGGGCGGAGGCAGAGAAGTTCCTGCGGGCCCACAACGTGCGAGGAACGTACCTGATTCGAGAGAGTGAGAGCAAACCTGGCGACTACTCCCTCTCCATTCAGGTGTTGTCTTGTATTCCCTGATGTACATACATACTCACCTCTCGTACCTCACTTGTGATTCATACTTAATATGGAGCTTTGGTGTCTTTGATTGTTATGTTACACCTGAGTCTTATATGGTAGTAGATACAACTAGGTTGGTGTTTGCCTTTGCTTTAAGACCTTCCCTTATTATAACTGCCACCTAATACATGTCTGTTTGTACTTGCCTTGCTTCCATGCCTCAATTACTAATGATTCTTACAGGACGGGGAAAATGTGAAACACTATCGAATCCGTCGCATGGACACTGGCGGATTCTTCATCACCCGTCGTGCCATCTTCAACTCACTGAAAGAGCTGGTGCACTACTATTCAAAGGACTCCGACGGACTCTGCATCAATCTCATGACGCCGTGCCCGACACTGGAGAAACCACAGATTGATCTCTCACACAAGACAAAGGACATGTGGGAGATATCACGAGATTCCATCACATACATACGGCGACTTGGGGGAGGCCAGTTTGGGGAAGTGTTCGAGGGGCTTTGGAACGGAACGACGTCTGTCGCCGTGAAAACGCTCAAAGCAGGGACCATGCAGCCACAGAGTTTCCTCCAGGAGGCCAGCATTATGAAGAAGTTGCGTCATCCAAAGTTGGTACAGTTGTATGCAGTGTGTACACAGGACGAGCCTTTGCTGATCATCACAGAGTTAATGCCACGAGGAAGCATGTTGGAATATCTACAAGGTAATTTATGCTGGGTCTGTACATTAGCAGAAGTTTGTCCTTGCATCATTTAGAAAAGGGGGCATGTGATTGTACCTAAGTATATAGCACCTTCAATGAATCCCTGGTTTAGGGGATTACATGTTTTCAGTACATGTACGTACGTATGTGTGCCAGTCTTAATGTTGCGCCCTCCTGTATACCTGCCACAAGGTGAAGGACGGATGCTACAGCTCCGCCCTCTCATTGACATGACCGCACAGGTTGCCGCGGGGATGGCGTATCTGGAGCTGCACAACTACATCCACCGCGACCTGGCGGCCAGGAACATCCTGGTTGGAGAGAACAACATCTGCAAGGTGGCTGACTTTGGTCTGGCCCGCCTCATTGCAGATGACGAGTACAACGCTCACGACGGAGCCAAATTCCCCATCAAGTGGACAGCACCCGAAGCAGCTCTCTACAATAGATTTTCCATTAAATCTGACGTCTGGTCGTTTGGCGTTCTTCTCACCGAGCTAGTGACATACGGGCGCATCCCTTACCCTGGCATGTCGAACGCGGAGGTTCTGCAGCAGCTAGAGCGTGGCTACCGCATGCCTTGTCCACCAAACACACCAGAGTCTCTCTACCAAGTAATGCTGGATACTTGGAAGAAGAACCCAATGGATCGACCGACATTCGAGGCTCTCCAGTGGCGTCTGGAGGATTTCTTTGTCCTCGACGGGCAGTACCAGGACGCCGCTAACTTTCAGACTGCCGACACAGTCTAATACTATAGGTCTTTTATCATTCTTCTCCATGTGTGTGTGTATGTACATATGTGTGTGTGTGTGTGTGTGCGAGCCAGCAGTCATCTATAACCTTCCTATACATTCTGATTGTTATGTACGTATTGTAGCTGTATTATAGTTACTTGCGAGTGTGGTGCAACTGCACAATTTCTGTACATTACTTCAAGAATCACGGATTTTTTAACTTGTAACCCATTGTCTCGGACATTATACTGCATACAATCTGTTTATCATTTCAATCATTATTAGAATGACATTTTTTACTATTCTCAATTTTATTATGAAACCATTTATTATTATTAATGATGAATTATTTTTTGATTGATAGGATTACATTAGTGGGTGGATATCACGTAGTGATGATGTAATGTTTTCTTGGCAGCTACATTGAGCCAGGGTTTGGTGGAACTGTCCAAAATTGGTTAAAACTACAGTTCTGTTGTACAGGTGGACATGTACTATAATGATTATGTACACTGATGCCATGGTGACTGGTGTAGCTAGACCTCTCCTAATAAGGAAATTACCCAGTAAGCGGCCACATTATGTTGTGCATGGGAAGGAGTATATATGAGCCCAGATCAGTACTAATACTTGTCCTTATTATAGAAGTGTCCTCATTTTAATGGATGGATAAAAAAACCTGGAAAAATTTGGGCCAGCCCTCCAGGCCTTTGAAATGCATGTGGGTCAGTGGTAGATTTGTGGGTAAGGGGAGGAACCAGAGCTGTTCCCAGCCAATGCTCTGGACCACCTGACACTTCAGTCCCCACGTCTCTAACCACTTAGCCACTCAGGGCTGGCCACGAGAACTGATAAAAAAACGTTCCTCTTATATATACTAATCCCATTGGCTGGTAAAGTTTTTTTTTAAAAACACCACTGACCTCACTATCTAGTGTGTGACTATAATTATAATACACATCCAGTGTGCATGTGGGTGAGGTTCCTTTTTGTCACGCAGTTTTCGTACAATTAGAGCAGTTCACGTGATACATACGGTCGTGGGTGGTGCAGCCAGCGAAAATGGCCTCTTCCACAGTGCTGACCTGAAGCCGCGGCACGGCAAAGAAAGCTCGCCTCGTGTCCTGCCAGCTAGACGAGTCATCCAGGTGACGGGAAAAATCGCACGAGACACGGACCGTAGTCTAGAGGACCTGCACCGCTCGACACGGAGTTTCGAACACGACTATTAGAGAAAGAAAGCCGCAGACATGGGTAACTGCGTAGGAAAAGACGGCGGAGGGAAGGCGGTAGTGGACACGGCACCTGCGCCAGACCCGATGGATCTGCACAGACAAGCGTCGCAACCAGTTCCCGTAGGCTCGCCTGTCGGGCCACCTCCGGTCGCCCCTGGAGGGCAGTATAGGTAAGAAGAGACAGTTCCGGGCAAGGTTCAGGCGTTTTCTGTGACTCATTTTAGACCCTTGGTTTGTTGGTTGGCCGAATACAATTGTCCCCTTGTAATACACTGTGATTATACTGTGGTGTACGTGCAGGTGTGCGTCGAGAAGTCCCCCCTTCCTCCCAACACCCCGTGTTTGTGGGGAAATACGATTACGACAGTCGTACGGATGACGACCTCAGCTTCAAGAAGGGAGACCTGATGTACATCATCTCCACTGACGAGGGAGACTGGTGGTTTGCCCGCGCCAAGGACACGGGGAGGGAGGGATACATTCCTAGCAACTATGTCGCTGAGTACAAGAGTCTTGACGCTGAAGAGTAAGTGAGAGGGAATGGAGTGTGTGTAATACTTTAGTCTTGTGTAGTGCAAGAGATACAGTAGAGGGGGTGGAACAAACACTACCTGTACCGCTGCTAATACTGTGTTGTACTCCCAATAAAAGTGTGTGGGAATGAGAGGTTGTAGTGTTAATGTCATGTTCCTAGTAGCTAGTAAGTTGAGAGTGTGTAGGAATGGTTTTGCCTCCATTGTGAGGGGGTGGAGAGAGAAGGAAAGCAGAAAGAAAACGAAAATGGCTGCAGTGCTGGCATCCCAGGAATTGTATTGTCTTGCTAACAGAATGTGTGACCTCTCACCAAGCTATGAATACAGTTAGTTGAGGGTGGCCCCCTTCCTATCCCTACTCCTCTCCTCACACACTCCCTTTGTGTGTGTGTGTGTGTGTGTGTGTGTAGTGGCCCCCTACTGTCGTCACATTCTGTGTACATAACTACCTGAGTAACCATTCTTGTTGACTGTCTTCCTTTTTGGTCTTGTAAACCATGCCACGTACCACATCTTCCTATACACCTGCCAGTGGGTCTCATGATCATGTGGTGGTGCACCATGCCACCATACATTCAACCATTGTAACACACTCACTGCACTACTGCGTACATATTGTCCTTCTGTGTCCACTCACACATGAAATGTACTCTATATTGCTATGCCTATCTTTTGGACCCTCTATAATTACCAAATATTCCTGCCAGAACCTTAGGGTCACCATAACCTCAACTATTGTAGCTGCCAGACTGTATGCCACCTAATATGCTGCTGTTCCTTGGCCTGCAGTCCTGGCCCTTGATGTCACCATTATGTCACAGTCTCGCTCTGTGGGTGTGTGTGTGTGGGCCGTAGACACTCCAACTATCCCCTTTTTCTTTGATCCACAGTAGATCCCATCTCTATGAAGTGAAGACACGTCTCTGGGACACATTTTCTTTCCTAAGAACAGTTCTTGTATGCAATAGAAAAGCCCATCAATGGACACTTTCTTCTGTCCCATTCATGCCCTTATTAGAGGAGTTCCACTGTACTTATTTTCCGATTGAGAACATGTTTGCCGTGGTTTTTGGCGTTGTTTTTGAAACCACGCCAGGCGCTGTGTTTGTGTTGTTTTCAGAATGTAAGCGCTTCAACTGCTACAGTAAAGTCGACTGAGAAAAATATTCATGTTTACTGCGGAAATGCACCAATGCTTTGCAAAACTGTTTCAAATGCGAGTGTGTTGAGTGTTTGTTGTCTCTTACTTGGCAGCCTTGAGTTCTCTAGCTAAGAGAAGGGGGGGGGTCTAGCAGTCTAGCAACTCGAAGGAATTTGTGAGCAGCAAGAAAGAAGGAAGGAAGGAGTGGGTGAGAGGGGAGACACAAGGATGTAGGAGTTTCGAGGGGTTGTTGTGTCAGTCATTCATAACAGATGGAGCATGGAATGTGAGGCAGGTGCATACTGAAACTAGCTGTGTAATCATATTTTGTGTAGAGTGGTCTAGTGTCTAGTGGCTTGCCTGGGCAATAGTAAACTGTCAGTAGTAGGAAACCTTAGAAACAAGCTATCCTATGTAGTAATGCAAGAGTGTGAACTAAACCCAACAATTCTGGCCGAGAAACTTGTGAGTCAGGTTTTGAAGTTCAACGTCAGGAAATTATCCTTGATATGGCGTGGTACACTCAGCAAGTCTTGGGAAGTTAGCTCACTTTCCCAGAACAGGCTTCTGTGCTGAGCAGGTTGAAAAATGCCACCTCGAGCAGTGAGGGAATGGGTGTGGGGAAGGCTTGTTTTACCAACAGTCCAGGTTGGAGCCACACGGAAAATGCAGTGTATCGTTGTAGCATAAGTCAGAAATCCTCGGCGCAAAATGAATGTGTGCGCAAAATGTACCAAGATGGTTTGAAGAGCAACTTTCTTGGTGTGTGCAGGGAGAAGCAATATCGAGTGGAAACTTTGTCACTGAAACCGCCATTCTATAGCGGGAAAATGAAACCAGTGTGCAAGGAAAAATTGCTGGAATTTTCACACGTGTATACAGAAGAAACTGTTTGCGAAGTCGGCATGAGAGAGAGAGAATGTGTGTGTTGTGAGCCAGAGTGCTGGAGATACTAAAAAGGAGGCATCAGCCGATGAGCTGATAGCTATCTCTCCCTCTCTCTTCCTACCTCAGGTGGTTCTTCGGCAAGATAAAGAGAGTCGACGCAGAGAAACAACTTATGCAGCCATTCAACAACCGCGGAGCTTTTCTAGTCCGAGACTCTGAGACCACACCTGGCGACTACTCACTCTCAATCCGCGACGAAGAGAAGGTCCGTCACTACCGCATCCGTCGGCTGGACGACGGAGGGTTTTTCGTGACTCGGCGCTGTCAGTTTGAGACAATACCGGACCTGATCAAATTCTACTCCCAGCAGGCAGACGGTCTGTGTATGGTGCTGGTGAGGCCTTGTCTCGTGTCCGAGAAACCGCAGACTGCAGGGCTGTCCAGACAGGCCAATGAGGAATGGGAAATTGATAGGCGACAGATTCGCCTCGTGCGCAAGCTGGGAGCAGGTCAATTTGGGGAGGTGTGGGAGGGGCTGTGGAACAACACGACGTCGGTGGCAGTGAAGACACTCAAAATAGGGACCATGTCTGCCCTGGAGTTCCTGCAGGAGGCCGCTCTCATGAAGAAACTGCGACACCAGAAACTCATCCAGCTCTACGCCGTCTGCACCAAAGAGGAGCCCATTTACATCATAACTGAACTCATGAAACATGGTAGTCTGCTAGAGTTCCTGCGTGGGGACGGGCGCTCGCTCAAACTTCCTCAACTAGTCGACATGTCGGCACAGGTGGCTAGCGGGATGGCGTACCTGGAGGAGCAGAACTACATCCACCGCGACCTTGCAGCCAGAAACATCCTCGTTGGGGATCACATGATCTGCAAGGTAGCAGATTTTGGCCTGGCGCGAATCATTGACGAAGACATCTACGAGGCACACACCGGAGCCAAATTCCCCATCAAGTGGACGGCACCTGAAGCTGCTCTCTACAACCGCTTCACCATCAAATCTGACGTCTGGTCGTTCGGCATCGTGCTGTACGAGATAATCACGTACGGGCGGTTCCCCTACCCTGGGATGACAAATGCCGAGGTACTGGAGAAGATACAGACGGGGTACCGGATGGGCTGTCCTCCAAACTCCCCACAGCAGCTGCACAACATCATGACCGACTGCTGGCGAGAGGACCCGGCCTCACGCCCCACCTTCGAGACCCTCCAGTGGCAACTGGAGGAATTCTTCACAACCGAAGATAGCGCACAATATCGCGATGCCGACAAGCCTACCTTGCCCTCCTAGTATGCCACACCCACTTTTCTAAATGCCACACCTTTTAGTGGGAGCGGCACTCACTGCTCGTGTGTCTTGATTTTTGTATGCCTTGTGTAGGGTGGGCTCCAATTAGAACCATTTGCTAGTATTATACATTAGCGAAACAGTACAGTACACGTGTGAACTTGTGTTTTGTGACCCCCCAACCTTTCGACCGCGACCTTCCCTTGATCTTGTCGTGTCCGTGGCAAATATGTGTAACCACGGCAATCTCCATAGCAATGGAAACACTAGAGCATAGTTTTTGTGATTCGAGATTTTTACTACGAACAATTTTTTAACACCACTCCGAACTCTTGACAATGTTATGTTTGCATGTATGAATATTTCAGCTAATTGGTTGTTTTTGTACATTTTTACTACTAATAGCCTATCTTTCTCAAACTACACTTGGTGCTAAAAAGACCTGGACACAGAACAACAAAAACACGAAAGTTTTATTATGTGTTAGCATTGGACGAAGGAGAGGAGAGAGAAAGGAGGGAGTTTGTTTGTATTGGGAATGGGAGAGTGATGTGCGATAAAGTATACTAACACACGTCTAGGTTCAGTATAGTGTGTGGGGGTGGGTGTGGGGTGAAGAGATAGCCTCATCTTCATACGCACATCTACAAGGAAGGGTACTCAGAACATTGAATGTGTTTGCAATGGAACATTGGAGAGTTTATTGCACAAACTACTTGTGTAGTTGAGTTGTTGTCAATAGGTCCCTTGTGTGTGTGTGTGTAGCATCTAGTACTTCCTGTCATTTTCCTCCTAAACTCAGACTGTTTCTTTATATAGCCCTGCTAAATATAGCCCACATTCCAGCTGCCTGAGCTAAGAAAGTGGCAGTGTAAACATTCTGTTGTGAAGCTGGCCCTTGCTGGCAGACCTCTGGCTGGTGGGCGTGGTCAATGACTAGTGCCCTATCAAAGCTGGTAACACTGTCTGGACCAGCACCCTATGTACATAGCATTATCGTATCCTCACCCACCACTCTTTATCTTTGTTTTCCTCTCCTCCCTGCCTGCCTCAGATGGTTCTTTGGTAAGATAAAGAGAGTGGAGGCAGAGAAGCAGCTCATGCAGACGTTCAACACATTTGGCTCATACCTAGTCCGAGATTCAGAGACAACTCCCGGCGACTTCTCCCTCTCGATCAGGGACAGAGAGAGAGTCAGGCATTACCGCATCAAGCGACTGGAGAACGGTACGTTCTTCGTGACGCGGAGAGTCACGTTCGAGACGATACAGGACCTAGTCCAGTACTACACCACACAGAGTGACGGGCTGTGCGTCAACCTCGTACAGCCATGTCTGCTCTCAGAGAAACCGCAGACGGCCGGCCTGTCTCGCCAGGCGAACGAGGAGTGGGAGATCGACAGACGACAGATTAGACTGGTTAGGAGGCTGGGAGCAGGTCAATTTGGGGAGGTGTGGGAGGGGCTGTGGAACAACACGACGTCGGTGGCAGTGAAGACACTCAAACCAGGGACCATGTCTGTCCTGGAATTCCTGCAGGAGGCCGCTCTCATGAAGAAACTGCGACACCAGAAACTCATCCAGCTCTACGCCGTCTGCACAAAAGAGGAGCCCATTTATATCGTGACAGAGCTAATGAAACACGGGAGTCTTCTTGAGTATCTGCGCGGGGAGGGACGTGGGTTGAAACTGCCTCAGCTCATTGATATGTCAGCGCAAGTAGCGGCAGGAATGGCGTACCTGGAGGAGCAGAACTACATCCACCGCGACCTTGCAGCCAGAAACATCCTCGTTGGGGATCACATGATCTGCAAGGTAGCAGATTTTGGCCTGGCGCGAATCATTGACGAAGACATCTACGAGGCACACACCGGAGCCAAATTCCCCCATCAAGTGGACGGCACCCGAAGCTGCTCTCTACAACCGCTTCACCATCAAATCTGACGTCTGGTCGTTCGGCATCGTGCTGTACGAGATAATCACGTACGGGCGGTTCCCCTACCCTGGGATGACAAATGCACAGGTGTTGGAAGCTCTGCAGCAAGGCTACCGCATGCCTCGTCCCATGGGGTGCCCGGACAAGCTCTATGACGTAATGTTGGACTGTTGGAAGGAGGAACCAGCCAGTAGACCCACGTTCGAGACTCTGCAGTGGCAGCTCGAGGAGTTCTTCACCACTGAGGGAGATGGAGGATATCGCGAGCCAGAGACCAATATTCAGTAGCCTCCACCTCCTCCTATTTCCCCGCACGCCACTAATAATATCCCACGACTGCTTCACCTTAGTTTCCTCCCTACTTAATTATCAACAACAACATCGAGATCGTTTTGTGCTCGCTTGTTGGCTTCGGAAATTGCATTTCTTACGTAATGGACCTAGCTACTACCATGGCAACAGACTGGACTGTTATATTATGATGTAATAACTTTAGCACACACCTTTTGTCACACAGTGTATAATTAAAATCATGCTCAAGGTCGTGTTGATTGGCCTGCTGGGCAGTATATAGACTATTGAATTGTGTGTGCAAATCCTTGTATGTATATTTAATGTATGCTACATGTTTATCACTTGTTAATGATTTGGTCAGAGTATATAGTGAATGTTGGCCTTAATAATTAAATCTGATTAGAGGTGATTTGTGATCCTACCTTTCAACCATGTCCACATGCTGGTTTTTGGGACAAGGCATCGCACATACTGCCACACCTGCATACATGGGTGATGTGTGTATTTTTGCATATGTGTGCGTGTGGCACTCTTCGAGCTATATTATTATAGCCATGGTGTTTGGTGCATGCATTGACATTCTCTGTTGTTGTATTGCTGTTGAAGAGAAATGTACACATAATGTGTTCATGCATGATTGACAGCCTTATCCCTGGAATGTTTGAACACACTATTATTATGCTGCTTGGGATGCAATTTTTTAAACGTGTCAGTCGAAAAATACCAAGAGGGCCAAATCCAAGAATGTTAGATACCGCCCAAAAGCAATGGAAGTGGTTTGTACCTGTAATAGTTACAATATTACTACATAGGCAGAACAATACAGTATAAAATCAAACAATCAACAGCAAATGTTTAATGATGACAAAGGGAAAAAAGAAAAAAGATGTACTGTTGTCCAGCTACTTCCTGCGGCGAGCTTTTTTGATTAACCTACCATCTTTTCCCCTCCCCATATCCAAGGCAACCCCTGTTGTGAAGAGACCTTGATTAGTGGGTGGAGCCTGGACCATGGAGCCAGCCAAACTAGTTTGTTGGCTGGTCTGCTGGCCAAAGACAAAGGAGGGTGTAGATCCAATCAAACTTGTTGGACCAGGTATTTGCTGATTGGATTGGCCAAAGGTAAACTGGGCAGAGGAACCAGAATTACTAGTCTGCCGCGTCTGGCCAAAGACAAAGGAGGGAGTCAACCTGGTCAAACCAGACGGACTAGTTTGTGTAGCTGACCCAAACACAAAGGAAGGTGTAGATCCAGTAAAACTGGATTGACCGGCTGTTTGGGGATTTGATTGACCAAATGCAAAGGTAGGAGTCGAACCCATCAAACCAGACTGACTGGTTTGTTGCCTGGTCTGCCCGAAAGCAAAGGAAGGAGCAGTAGAACTAGTAAAACTGGATTGACTGCTTTGGCCTAAAGCAAATGTGGGAGTTGAAGTCGTCAAACTAGTTTGTGTACTTGATTTCCCAAAAACAAAGGAAGGAGTTGAGCCAGTAAAACTGGATTGACAGGTTTGGTTGGTTGATTGGCCGAAAGCGAGAGCAGTAGAACCAGATTGACTCGTTTGTGTATTAGACTGGCCAAAGGCAAAGGAGGGAGTCGAGCCAGTCAAAGCAGATTTACTGGTTTGACCAAACGTGAATGACGAAGCAGCACTGGAAGGAGCTCCGAAGTTGGAACCAGTTTGTCCAGAGGCTCCAGACAGTGTACCAGTATTACTACTACTACTCAGTCCGGTCTGACTGGCTGAGGGGTTGCTTGATCCAAACAGCAATAAACCAGACTGGGATGGTGGAGGAGGAAGAGGCTGTCTGATCTGGAATCCTGAGGAGGTGTGTTGTGTGGTGGGGGGGGGGGATAAGTAAGCACAGAACAGGAATGCACACATTTTTGGCGAGCAGTTTGATTTTTCACACGTTTCATGCATCGTGTACTGGGTTGAGGACTGATTTTCTCTGTCTAAAGCGTCCCACTCTACATCATCAGTGTATGTAGGAAACCTCTCAACAGCTGTACTGAGAGAGATTTCCAAGGTTTCTATTGTCCTCCAGCGAATCAGCCACACCCACTGACTGAGGAAATGCTGCATTAGGAGAGGACCGTTTCAGACAATACCGTGGCAATACGTCGTTGACAGCTCTGTATGTGTATGTAATGCACTCTCACACCCGTTCCAATGCAGTAGCTATGTGACGAAAAGAAAAAAGCTTAGCGCAGTTGCATATCGTACACTTACAGCATGGTTACTATGTTTGTTGTTTACCTAATGTACAGTATCGCAGAGCAGAGACGCTATTGTTTGAGATATTGACGCTGACTAACCAGAGCCTGAGGAGGCAGGAGCTCCGGTGAAAGTTAAACCAGAGAGAGACTGGCTACTGGAGGAAGACTGCCCGCCAGCAGAGAGAGAGAAAGGCAGCTGGCTTAACACCAGCCTCTCCACTAAAGAGTTTAGTAGTTTGAGATGTCCCAGTGAGGGGTTTAGCGGTGTCTGTGGTTCCAGGGAATGTGACCGAAGGTATAGCAGTGTCTGTGGTTCCAGGCAATGTGACCAAAGGTTTAGTGGTGTCTGTGGTTCCAGGGAATGTGACCAAAGGTTTAGTGGTGTCTGTGGTTCCAGCAAATGTAACCAAAGTCGTAGTGTTGTCTGCTGCAGGACATTCAACTGAAGATGTTGCACTTCCAAAACCTGGACCTGAGCTCTGCCCCACTCCAGTTCCAGAACCTGCCCCAGCAGTGGTCTGTGGAGGAAAAGTTTGCAGACTCTCCCCTCCGACGTTCACACCTCCTTCCCCAAAATTCAGACCCCCTCCAGCTCCAAATTTGAGACCCCCCTCACCCAACTTTATGCCTCTTTCACTACCTCCAATTTTCAAGGCCCCCTCCAGTCCAAATTTCAGCCCCCCTCCAAGTTTGAAGCCCCCTCCACTACCAAGACTAGCTGCAGCCAGAGAGCCAGACCCAAGTACTGATAGCTTTTTTAGCTGCCCTGGGGCACTGGTGGGCGGAGCCTGTTGCCCTGACAACCCAGGTCTGGGAGTGCTGCAAGCAACACAAGAGGTATCAGTCTTCTTGTTGTCAACTAAGCACGTGTCACACGACCAACCATCGGCTGCTGGGGCAAACTGAGCCAATGGTTTTAGAGGCTCTGTGATGGGTGGGGCTTGCAAGCTTTGACTGCCACTGGATCCTAATTGGAGCCCACCACCTGATGATCCCAATTGGAGCACACCACTAGATCCAAACTTCAACCCACCACTTGAACCCAATTGGAGCCCACCACTAGTTGACCCACTAGATCCTAATTTGAGGCCACCACTTGATCCCAACTGAAGCTGACCTTGGCTTGTTTCACTCCCCGTTGCCTGGCTACCAGAGGCCACACCCCCTGGTTGTACAGCACCACAAGCAACACATTTGGAGTCGATTCCTTTATTCTGCAGCATACAGTCTGGGCACTCCCAGGATCCAGCAGGTTTCGCAAACTGGCTCAACAGGTTTGGAACAGGTCTAGACGCAGGTTTGGCTGACTGGTTTATAACTGGTTTGGCAGCTCCGCAGGCAACACAGGAGACGGCTGAGGTGGGGTTCTGTACGAGGCACGTGTCCGCATTCCCAGCCCAATGTGGACACGGAGAGGAGAGGGAGAGAGGGAAGCTGTTTTGAAGAAGTACCAGTAAATGTTGAGAAAGAAGAGGTTGAGGGAAGGGAAGATGAGGGAGACTTAGCAGCCGAAGCACCACTAGTAGAGTTAAAAGAGGGAGTAGTTGTGAGTGTGACAGCAGTAGAAGGGAAGAGACAAGGTTGGGGAGGTGCAGTCGGAGCAGAGCCGTCAGCTACAATATTTCTCTCCTCACTGGTGGAGCGGTTGGTGAGAGCCTGGTAGTCAGGTCTCTTCAGAATGTCCGCCACACTTTCATTCTTGAGGGGCGGGACTTGGGGCTCAGTGGGTGTGGCCTTAAATTCCGTGGGCGGGGACAGATGTCCAGTGGGTGGAGTGAGGGTGTGTGGCTTGGCTGGAGTTGGAGTACTGAACTGGAAACTCGGTATATTGCTGCGAGCCTAAAAACGAAAGAAAAGCACCAACCATGAGTCATCGACATGGTTTCACACAACATTGAGACTTGTCACTTCGGTACATGCAGGGGATTTTCTTGACAAACATGTTCCTGGGTGTCCATTTAGATGAGTATACACTACCCATACATAGTCATACATACATACCAGGAGAGTGGTGTTTGTTGGAGTGGAAGATGATGTCACTGGTTTGGGAGTAGAGAACGAGAAATTAGGCAGAGACTTGCTGGTCGTTGTCATGGAAACAACAGTAGTGGTTGTCGCAGGAAGCTGTGGGAATGTTGGATTACATGACTTTTGTCGTCAAAAAAGCAGCCATCAAACAAAAACACTCACTATCAGATTCTGAGCGAAGGGAAACGAGAGCTGTTTGTCAGTCTTCAGTCCCACTGGTGGTACCATGGCAACAGGGGCTGTCCCCGTGTCCTGGTCATCATGCCGACGTGTAAAGTGAGTCCTTGCGTGCTGGGACTTCACCTTACCACCACTGGTTGCCAGGGGCGATCGCTGCAGGAAAAGAAAAATGTATCCATTTTCGTATGGACAAGAGCCTGGGAGTGGCAAATTTTAGGCTTTTCATTGTATTCGGCTCAGACAAGAAGTTCAATGAGATCACTGGGGAAAACCCCTCCAATCTCCAAGGTATATACACATCATAGCCAACATAAGGTGTATGTATTACTAGTTCATGATCAAATTTACAACGATGTAAATACGCAATAGCGGGGAGTTAGAGAGAAAATTGGTGGCAAAATTCAGATTTCACAGATCATTTACTTTCACGACACATGATGGAGGGCTACATATAGACTCACATTTTCAGCATGAAACTTGGGAGAAAAGTTGAGTCCTGAGCCCGTTCCACTGTTTGGGGGTGTGGCAAAGTGTTTGGAATGGTCTGGGGACCGAGAAGTGGGCGGGGCACGAGGGGGAGGGGCTGTAAACTTGAGAGAGGCAAGATTGGCGCCAGCAGCTGATGAGGCAGATGAGAGGAGGGAGGGAGAAGAGGAGAAAGAGAGAGATGGAGGGGAGGTAGCAGCAGCCGAACCAGTCCATTTAGCTGACAATAAACTTTGACCAACGGCAGAGTTGTTTGGGCGTAGTGTTGCCCCTAGCAACGAACTCTCCCGACTGTTGCCGGTGGTGATGTTAGCGTTGGTCTTCCGGATGGATTTCTCATTGGGGACGATGACAGGTCTGGAATGGGTAGGGGAGCGAGGAAGTGGGAGGAAGGAAGGATTGTGGGAGGGAGTGGAGAGGGAGGAGATTGGAGGAGGGGAGAGGGCTGCATGGGCAGATTTGTGACGCTTTCTGGCCGGCTGGGAGAAAGAGAGGGAAGAGAGAAAATAGGGGTAAGTAATATAGTATACAGTAACTGCTGTACTGATGGGCACAGAATATAGCATGGTGGGCTCTAAGTAGAAATTCAATACACACGCACACTAGAAAGAGAGCAGGAAGGAGGGTTCTATAAAGTGGTTCAGACAAGGCTGAAACAGGTTCAGTCACTGATGACTAGTCTCATATTATGAGAAAATGACGTCATCATTACCACGATTATGCACAGTAAAACCAAGTGTCCACCACATAAAGAAGTGTTGCATACACAGTATATACCTGTGAACCAAGTACATTACAGTATAATACCTGAGTGGCAACGGAGGGGGTTCTAAGAGGCAGTCTTCTGGCCTCCACAAGAGGAGACGACAGAGAGTCCAAAGTTTGCAGGATCCTCTGTGCCGCCGTTGACGAGGTGGGCGGGGCCATGGGGTGAGGTTTTACTCTCACTGTCACCTGCACTGGAGCCAGCTGCCAGGGAGAGAGGTTATACTAAACAATACTCTCCAGCATGTACCATAGAACATGTAGTGTCACAGCTACTCTGGAAATTAGTGGGTGTGGTCAACATACCACAGGAGGGCTGGACTCGCGACGAGCTCTCTTGACACTCCTCAGTCTCTGTCCAGAAGCGGCTCCACCGAATGACGTCCGACCGGAATAGAATGGAGACTGGAATGGGCTGCGACTCAGACTCAGGTCTGTGTAGTTGGTGCTGGACCATAGAGAGAGGTTACATCATGGCGACGTCATCGGAGATTACATCATCACAAAATGAGATTTGGGAAAGAAGAAGGAAGAAAATACTCTGCTTTCCACTTTATACAAAAACCTTTTTCAGAAGGTGAAATGGAACGTTCAAAAGGCTCAAAATTTAGAGCTCAAAACAATTTGAAATCGGAAAATTTCTTTTACTCCTGGGAAAAGACAGAGAACTAACACATACACCCACCCACCGATGATCCACAGTGTCTGGAGCAACTGAGGCCGAGGGGGCAGCATGAAATACAGACGTGGCAGAATGGAATGGGGACTGCTCTGGAATGGACTCGAGTCGCTCAGGCTGCTGCGGCACTCTATAAGTCACCTGGTTACCATAACGACTCCTGAAATCGCTCTCGTCGGCCTGGTTGTCATGGTGAGGATGACTCCGTTCGTCGGCCTCACAAACAGGACTCAGTTGAGGAGTTGAGGTCAGGAGGGGTCGCGACCTCAGTACACTGCTGGCAGCTGCGCTAGGTTTCATTCTGTGTTGGAACAGCGACGGTGAAAGGGCGTGGGAGGGAGGGCGGAAGAAGGCAGGGTTCTCCTCTCGTCTGACGACGTGCTCCGACTGACTCCACCCACTGACCACACCCACTGGGTCTGTCGTGTCCTCGGCAATCCAGCTGGCATCCTCCGATGGCTCAAGTCCGTTCACCATCACCCCAACCCTCCCTCCTTTCTCCTCCTCTTCTTCCTGTTTGTCATCCTTTTCTACTATCTCTTCAGATAATGCAACAGGTTTTTGGAGTTCTGTCATCATCTGAAACAATGCAGCAACCATGTGTAAGTTGCACATCTAGCAAGCAACATTCCAAAAAAGAAAGTGTGTAGTTATTAGCTTTGTTCAGGACAATCAAACCACAATTTCCATCTTCCTTACAAACATAACTACATATCACTGCTAATGGTTTTGGAAATTTTACACAGCCACACATGTGCATAGTGTGTTTGTAGAGTATAATACCTCAGAGGCACCATCAGTGGTAGGAGGTATTGGTTCATGTGGAGAAGAGGGCGGAGAGGGAGAAGGGGAAGGAGAAGGAGAGGGAGAAGGAGGCTTAGTCTGCCACCAGAAAGACGGTGTGAACCAGTTAACAACACGTGAAACGATCCCTTCTTGTTGCCCCTGGCTCTGCTGTGGGGGCTCCTAATAGAGACGCACAACACCGTGAATCACATTTTGCAACACTTTTCTGTGCTGCTGTTTTGTAGCATGATATCGTTGCTTTGCAGCAGTATTCTAGCAAGATTTCTTATTCCCTTCTCCGTATAAATGTGGACACCTTTCTTTCTCCTAGCAGAACACTGTTTCTTGCGAACAATAAAGGACACCTCACTAATAGAACACCCGAATACAATCTTAAAAGCTATAACTTTCCTCAGACACGGGCGCCCTTGCAGCGGCGACGGTCCGCGTGGGTAAGATTCTAATTAACACCCACCCCTTAATCTCCTCCGTTTGTTTGACTCACTTTTCTCTTGGTGCGGTACGGAGCGTTGTTCCCCCGCCTGCGTCGCTGGGACCGCATCTTGTACTCGGACATCTTCGCTTGCCTGCCACAAGCAGTCAGTGCTGTACTTTATAAGCGCGAGAATTTGAGCAGCTGGCGTCACGTGAGCGACCACATGTGCGGTTTTTGGCGGCAATTGCGCGGGTCATTGTAGTCTCGGGTATAAATTTCTCTGTAGCTCATTTCTACACACTCGCCCCAAGTGAGCAGGGGGATGACGGCTCGCCTGGTGCTGGAGGATGGGTCTGTGTTTACAGGCACACTGTTCGGTGCTGCTCGGAATGCCCCTGGGGAAGTCGGTCCGTTCCTTTGGTCTTGTGTGCGAACATACTTCTCCCCTTCTTTTCTCTTCCTCATTTCTCTTCTTTTTCTGTCGTAATCTTTCCTCCGTTCATTAACAACCCTTTCCTTCACTTTCTTCTCTGTCTGTCTTTCCCATCAGTTCACTTTATCAAAACGTAGATGCTTCTCTTTCCCTTCCTCCACTTATTTTTCTGTCCTTTTCTTCCTTTTCTCTCTCTCGTCCCTCCCTCAACTTCTCCCAGTATTCCAGACAGGTATGGTGGGGTATGTGGAGAGTCTGACGGACCCGTCTTACTGCCATCAGATTCTCACTCTGACTTATCCACTTATCGGCAACTATGGCGTACCTGCCAAAAAGGTATTTACACACGCAGCTATTTGGCCGAAACAACTTTGCAGCTCTGGTAATGTCATAGCTGAGATTAGACTACCGTGATTCTATGTAAATGGTTATTTGGCTCTATAGTTTTACTTGGTGAAAAAAAAATGTATACCTGTCTGCTGGTGAATACAGGAAGACAGGTATGGACTGCTGGAGACTTTTGAATCATCTCGTATCCACGCCGCGGCCCTGGTGGTTGGTTGTCATGGAGACGAGACGAGTCACTGGGAGGCGGTGCAGAGTCTTAGCGACTGGATGAAGGAGGAGGGAGTCCCCGGAATCTCTGGTTCGTTAACTTTTTTGACTCCAGATACTAATAGCTGAGCATGTATATATTTGTCTCTCTTCACTACTGCATATATATACTTCATTGGCTGTGGAGTATATGAACGTGCACAGGTTTGTATAAATTGACAAACTTCACTCTTTCTGTCATCCAGGGATAGACACGAGAGCTCTGACTAAGATCATACGAGAGAGGGGGACGTTGCTAGGGAGAGTTGAGGTCGTTACCAAGGGGGGAGGAGGAGAGGGAGAGAGGGAATTCTGGGACCCTAACAAAGTCAATCTAACAGCCATCGTCTCTTGCAAGGTAAGTTTGGGTGAAACCTACCATTTTACATGTATTTGGATCTGTTATTAGCTAAGTGTAAATGTATGTGTTTATGTGTAAAGTATGCCATTTTTAAACGTTCTTTTTTCTGTGTAAAGAATTGGGGAGCAAAGTGAGCCTACCACTTGGTCATCTGCAGTTCCTCATTCCCCAGGTGCCAAGGGTTATTAACCCTGGCGGAACAGTTTCTGTGGTTGCTGTTGACTGTGGCATCAAGAACAACCAGCTGCGTTGCCTTGCCGACTGCGGGGCCAGGATAAAACTAGTTCCTTGGAACCACGACTTTACCTCTGAGAAGGGTGAGGAGCTAAATGAAGTGTAGCTTGTGGTGTGGAGATCACTCATACACTCACTCAAAACATGCCAAGCTCCATTTAACATAATAATGGAATGAACATGTGTACCACCACCAGTTTTGTAAAATTTTTTTTTATCCCTGACCACAGGGATCGACGGGTTGTTCCTAAGCAACGGGCCCGGCGACCCAGCCATGCTCACGGAGACAGTGAGTCGACTGAAGGCATACCTCTCTCTCCCTCACACTCCGCCCGTCTTTGGCATCTGTATGGGCCACGCCCTCCTGAGCCAGGCCATCGGGGCCTCCATCTTCAAGATGAAGTCAGTGGTTCTTGTTCTACATTCTGCCAGCATTTTTAAATCTTTTCCCTCTATCTTATTCCAAACTATCCTCTTGCAGGTACGGTAACCGAGGACACAATCAGCCGTGTCTCCATGACGACAGTGGTCGCTGTTTCATCACCACGCAGAACCACGGCTTTGCGGTTGACGTCACCTCCCTGTCGTCTGATTGGTCGGTTCTCTTCACAAACGCCAACGACGGTACAAACGAGGGGATAGTCCACAAGACGATGCCTTACTTCTCAGTTCAGTTTCATCCCGAGGCCATGGCTGGGCCTCAGGACCTGGAGGGTCTCTTCAATGTCTTCCTGCGAGCATGTTTTGAATTCAAATCCCGCTCCGAGCAGGGGGATGAGGAGGGGGGAGTCCCTGTTCGGTGTATGATTGACGATTTTGTCAGTGGGCGTGGTCAACAACGTTGCCATGGTGAGGAGCATAGGGACTGGGTCATTCTGGAGAGGAAGAATGGAGAGACAGAGGAAATTACCCCAAATCTGGGGGAAGTTACTCCAACCCCAGAAAAGTTTACTACAACTGTTACAAGTTCGGAGAAAATTACCCCGACTCCAGAAAAAGTTGCTAAGACTCCGAGGGAAGATACTCCAGTGGGTGTTGGGGTAGAAAGGGGGTGTGGTTTACCCCGAAAGGTGTTAGTGTTGGGGTCTGGAGGACTGTCTATTGGTCAGGCTGGAGAGTTCGATTACTCCGGTTCTCAGGTATGGTGTAAACACACTCTTGTGTCAAGTTTGGCTGAAGGGTTTTGTAGCAAGATAAAGAGGCAAAGACGTGGGGTGGGAGTGAAAGTTTGTTGTCAGCTAAAAGTGTAGAGCGAGATACAGAGAGAACTGTAGGAGCGAGATAGGGGAAAGACTTACGAGGATTGAGTTGGATTAATTTTTGATTTTTCACGTCTGTCCCCCAAATCTCCCTGTTGTTCACTGTCGTTCCTTCCTCTTTCTCCGTTTCCCAGGCGATAAAAGCTCTGAGGGAAGAAGGGATTCAGACAGTGCTAATCAACCCAAACATAGCCACCGTCCAAACTGCCAAGGGACTGGCTGACAAGGTGTACTTCCTTCCCATCACCCCTGACTACGTCACTGAGGTTAGCCACACCCCTCACAGTCACATGACTTTTACTTGCCCTGAATGAGCAAAATGTTGCCGAAAAGCTCTGTCATGTTAGTGTACACAAAATTCAGTGAATTGCATGCGCTTCTGCTAGTGTATGTAGTTAATATGACATGTCAGGTGATCATGAACGAGAGACCAGACGGAATTCTTCTGTCGTTTGGAGGACAGACAGCTCTCAACTGTGGGGTGGAGCTACAGCACTCCGGGGTAAGGTGGGGTAAATAGTGGAGTATTAAACCCCAAACACCCTCCCCGTTCCAGGTCCTGTCCCGTTACTCCGTTGCCGTGCTGGGTACCCCGGTTGACTCCATAATCCTGACGGAGGACCGACAGAAGTTTGCAGAGGAACTGGCCAAGATATCGGAGCCTGTTGCTCCTTCCAGAGCTGCTTACTCCGTCGCCGAGGTAATGTTACCCCACACTGTGCTGTGTATGCGAGCTGTCTACATTTTCTGCAGATACTAATGTTACTACGTATGTTTACCTTGGAGTAATGTTGCCATGGTTATAGGCGGTGGAGGCAGGGGAGGCTCTGGGGTACCCTGTTCTGGTGAGAGCAGCGTTCGCGCTGGGTGGGCTGGGGTCAGGGTTCGCAACCAACCGATCAGAGCTGGAGAACCTTGCTCAGGCGGCCTTTGCCCATACCAAGCAGGTGATTGGTTGACTGTGATGCAATTATGACGACATTGAAAAAATTAGAAGCGGGACAAAATAAAGTTAATAGGGGGATTAAGACTAAAATTAATTGTGAGATTGAAATGGGACATCATCACGGCAGGTACTGATAGACAAGAGTCTGCAGGGCTGGAAGGAGATCGAGTACGAGGTGGTGAGGGATTGCCATGACAACTGCATAACAGTGAGTGATCATGTGACCACATGTGAGAGTCACATGACTCTTCCTCCCAGGTGTGTAACATGGAGAATGTGGATCCTCTGGGTATCCACACGGGGGAGAGTATAGTGGTGGCTCCGTCTCAGACGCTGACCAACATTGAGTACAACCTCCTCCGAAGTGTGGCCATCAAGACCGTCCGTCATCTGGGAGTTGTCGGGGAGTGCAACATTCAGTATGCCCTCAACCCTGACTCCAGACAGGTGTGTACTGCACCTCTCTCTCTCCTTCCATTTCATCCCTTAGTTTCACAGTAATGATGCTCTTCCAAATCCACATGATCTGCACTGCTAGAGACAAAAGCATGATTATCAATATATTCAGGGTTCCATGCTGTTTTATGCTTAGCCGCTTCTTACCAAACATGCTTGCATTTGCCTACATAACGTCAGTTACTGTTGTAGGCAGCATCTGACATCTTATTACATCATTCTCCCATAGTATTACATCATCGAGGTGAACGCCAGGTTGTCAAGGAGCTCGGCGCTGGCGTCCAAGGCAACAGGCTACCCACTGGCTTACGTCGCCGCCAAACTGGCTCTGGGGATTCCCCTTCCTCACCTCAAGAACTCTGTTACCAAGGCAACCACTGCCTGCTTTGAGCCAAGCCTGGACTACGTCGTTGTGAAGGTATACATTATGGTATATTATAAGAATTGTCAAAATCAGTATGAAATTGTGAATGTTTGCAAGTGAACTGTACCAGTACAGTCTGGCTGCTTTATAAAGCACAGTTAGTGCAGTATAATAATATGGTAGTCATCATTTCCTCCCCCTCTCTCCTCCTTCACCAGATACCTCGCTGGGATCTTGGTAAGTTTGCGAGGGTTTCAACCAAGATAGGGTCCTCCATGAAGAGTGTGGGAGAGGTTATGGCCGTCGGGAGGAGGTTCGAAGAGGCTCTGCAGAAGGCACTGCGAATGGTAGACCCCGCCTCTCTGGGGTTTGACCACACCCTAACCACACCCACTGAGGAGGTCCGCTCATTAATCATTGATTATGCACAAACATCCATGATATTACTCCACAGGAGCTGGTCAATCCAACAGACAAGAGGATATTCGCAGTGGCAGCTGCCCTTGGGGACCCCGAGAGGTGGTCACTACGGCAACTGCACCAGTTGACCCGCATCGACCCCTGGTTCCTGTCTCGCATGAACAACATTGTCGTCATGGCAACCAAACTTTGTCAGCTGGAGGGCAAGGTTCGTACCTACTACTGAAGTTGGAGGAAGAAAACAAGCAATTCTACTGTCTTCCCAAAATATACAGTTTGCGTTCTGCTCGTTCTGTGTACATAATATGTGTACATTCATACTTTTGCATTGGGACTCACACATTCTTATGAGCTATGATTTTAAACTCCTCTCCCTCCCCAGTGTCCGCCGCGAGGTGTCCTGCTAGAGGCCAAGCAGCTGGGGTTCAGTGACAGGCAGATTGCTCGCTGCATCAACTCCACCGAGTTGGCTGTGAGGGACACCCGACTCTCTCTCTCCCTGCGACCCTGTGTGAAGAGGATAGACACCGTAGCCGCGGAGTACCCTGCACACACCAACTACCTCTACCTCACCTACAACGGAGTGTCACATGACATTGACTTCCCAGGTCAGGCCAGGTCACATGACCCAAGACCTGTGGGTGTTTCCCCTTAATGAAATTTTTACACGACTATAGCAAAATCTTTAGGAGCTATAAAAGTATATATTGTGGCTCAAAAGTTTTCCCGTGTGTGGTCAAATGACCTGCTGTGTATTGATCACATGACTGTCACATGACAGGGGAGGCGGTGATGGTCCTGGGGTCGGGGGTCTACTGTATCGGAAGTTCAGTGGAGTTTGACTCGTGTGCTGTTGGTTGCATCAGAGAACTCCGCTCTCTTGGGAAGGAGACTATCATGGTGGGTAATACCTTCGCGATCGTACACCTGCTCGCGCATCTGCCCCTACGCCTGCTCGTTCATCTGCCCTACGCCTGCTCGCGCATCTGCCCTGCGCCTGCTCGCGCATCTGCCCTGCGCCTGCTCGCGCATCTGCCCTACGCCTGCTCGTTCATCCGTCCTACGCCTGCTCGCGCATCTGTCCTACGCCTGCTCGCGCATCCGTCCTACACCTGCTCGCGCATCTGCCCTACGCCTGCTCGTTCATCTGCCCTACGCCTGCTCGTTCATCTGCCCTACGCCTGCTCGTTCATCTGCCCTACGCCTGCTCGCGCATCTGCCCTACGCCTGCTCGTTCATCTGCCCTACGCCTTCGCACATCTGCCCTACGCCTGCTCGTTCATCCGTCCTACGCCTGCTCGCGCATCTGTCCTACGCCTGCTCGTTCATCCGTCCTCCGCCTGCTCGCACATCTGCCCTACGCCTGCTCGTTCATCCGTCCTACGCCTGCTCGCGCATCTGTCCTACGCCTGCTCGCGCATCCGTCCTACACCTGCTCGCGCATCTGCCCTACGCCTGCTCGTTCATCTGCCCTACGCCTGCTCGTTCATCTGCCCTACGCCTGCTCGTTCATCTGCCCTACGCCTGCTCGTTCATCTACCCTACGCCTGCTCGTTCATCCGTCCTACGCCTGCTCGTTCATCTGCCCTACGCCTGCTCGCGCATCTGCCCTACGCCTGCTCGTTCATCTGCCCTACGCCTTCGCACATCTGCCCTACGCCTGCTCGTTCATCTGCCCTACGCCTGCTCGCGCATCCGCCCTACGCCTGCTCGTTCATCTGCCCTACGCCTGCTCGCGCATCCGTCCTACACCTGCTCGCGCATCGATTTAATTGTCCATCATAAGTAAGGTAGCATGAGGTATTCGCTTTGCCGTGGCAACTCCCTCCTCTCCACAGGTAAACTACAACCCCGAGACAGTGTCGACGGACTACGATGAATGTGAGAGACTTTATTTTGACGAGATAAGTTTTGAGTCCATAATGGAGATATACGGACTGGAGCGGCCGGAGGGAGTGGTACTGTGTATGGGTGGACAGCTTCCTAACAATATTGCCATGCCACTTCACAGGCAGAAGGTTAGGGAGGAAGAGGAAGAGACAAATAAGTGTTGACACTTGATTCACCTAGTAATCTGTTGGTTTTGCATGAGATGAGTGAAAAGTGTGCAAAAAATATTGCCGTCACTTTCCCAGCTACTCTGGAAAAATTAATGTTTTGCAAGAAAACATTCTTGTGCATGTAATTTCTCCATAATGTAGGTGAAGGTGCTGGGTACTAGCCCAGAGATGGTAGACAGTGCTGAGAACAGGTTCAAGTTCAGTCGTCTCCTGGATACCATTGGTCTGGAGCAGCCTCGCTGGAGGGAGCTGACTGACATTGCAACTGCGACCCAGTTCTGTGACTCCGTGGGCTATCCTTGCCTCGTCAGACCTTCCTACGTTCTCTCTGGTACATACGTTGGCCGGGACATGCTGAGTTGGTATTCATTATTCCAAATATAGCAGTCATCCTCCAAAATGAATACCTCTCAAAGTTATTCCTATTGTGATGACAAAGTGTTTTCTGACGTCAGGTGCTGCCATGAACGTTGCCTACACACATGCCGACCTGGAGAGTTACCTTGGCAGCGCAGTGGCCGTCTCACGCGATCATCCTGTCGTCATCTCCAAATTCATCCAGGATGCAAAGGTCAGAGTCCACAGGGAGTTTGGTTGCTAAGCAAATACGGTGACTGTGATGTGATAATTACCTTGGAAATTGGAGGGATTTCCCCGATGATTTCATGTTCACCTTGACTGAGCCACCAACTATTGACCAATCAGAATATATACAGTATTAAGCCACACCCCTAGTTATAAGCCACACCCATTTCTTTCGACAGGAAATCGATGTCGATGCAGTGGCGAGTAGTGGAGAGGTGGTTGCCATGGCAATCAGCGAGCATGTGGAGAATGCTGGTGTGCACAGTGGTGACGCAACACTCGTGCTCCCGGCACAGGACCTCAACCAGGAGACGTTGTCACGGATACAGGACATCACTCGGGCAATAGCATTGGCTCTCAACGTTTCAGGTCAGACACCGGTTCCTCTGTCCCCATTCTGCCCTTTGTTTACAACATTAACAACAAGAAGATCAAGTTTTTCTAATACAATATGACGTGTATTTCCATGGCTACAGGTCCATTCAACATACAGCTGATCGCCAAGGACAACAAGCTGAAGGTGATTGAGTGTAATTTGAGGGTCTCCCGGTCCTTCCCCTTCGTCTCCAAGACGCTCGATGTGGACTTTGTCGCCATGGCAACCAAGGCACTCCTGGGTCTCCCCGTTGCCCCGGTAACGTTTGATTTCCAGTCCCTGGAGAAGGTTGGGGTCAAAGTTCCTCAGTTTTCCTTCTCTCGACTTGAGGGAGCAGACGTGAAACTGGGTCAGTGAGTTGTGGGCTCATGTCTCTTTCTCTCTTTGGAGTATGTAATGTTAGTTGACTCTGAGAGTGTGTAACTAAAGAATGGAACAGGAGTCTTAGCTCAGTGACTAGTGCACTGGACTGCACGTCACTATGCCTCAATTTTGCGTTCATCGTTCCCATTTCATAATCTCTCATTCCTTTCCACTATCCACTGTAATAGATGTCCATGTGAACACATTACGTATGTATTACTTCCCCACCATTCTCCCCCCTACTGCAGGAGTGGAGATGTCCAGTACAGGTGAGGTGGCCTGTTTTGGAGAGACACGCTACGAGGCATACCTGAAAGCCATGCTCAGCACTGGATTCAAACTCCCATCTCCTCCTGCCAATATCCTCCTCTCCATTGGCAGCTTCAAGGTCTGCTGTATGGTTTCTCATACACACTTGTAGGCAGTAGTCTAGTGACCACCACTCTGTCCTGTCTGGGCTGTTTGTACAACGTGCAAACCCTATTCTTGTCATAAACGTACACACTTGTAGGCAGTAGGCAGTTTGACTACCACCCCATCACTTCTGGGCACACAACACTGCCACGATATAATGTATGAAATATGTGTATGTGTCATCTCCCCACATGTCCACTCGCAGGCCAAGATTGAACTTTTGGAGTCAATCAGAACACTACAGAGACTGGGATTTAACCTCTTTGCCTCCTACGGCACCGCTGACTTCTACAGTGAACATGGGGTTAAACTCCAACCGGTCGAGTGGCCCTCGTCCAACGGGAACGGTAACCACAGCAACAAGACTCAAAACTCGCCCCCCGTTACCCGTAGCAACAGCCAGAGTAGCAACGGTGGTCGTGGCAACGGTGTGCCGTCGGACCTGTCCATCGCAGACTATCTGACTCAGAAGAAGATAGACCTCGTCATTAACCTTCCTCTTCGACAAAACAGGTTTCTTTCTCTCTACCACTACGTACGTTCATTAACCTTCCTCTGCGACAAAACAGGTTTCTTTCCCTCTACCACTACGTATGTACATTAACCTTCCTCTGTGACAAACAGGTTTTCTTTCTCTCTACCACTACGTATGTACATTAACCTCCTCTGTGACAAAACAGGTTTCTTTCTCTCTCACCACTACGTATGTACATTAACCTTCCTCTGTGACAAAACAGGTTTCTTTCTCTCTACCACTACGTATGTACATTAACCTTCCTCTGTGACAAAACAGGTTTCTTTCTCTCTACCACTACGTATGTACATTAACCTTCCTCTGTGACAAAACAGGTTTCTTTCTCTCTACCACTACGTATGTACATTAACCTTCCTCTGTGACAAAACAGGTTTCTTTCTCTCTACCACTACGTACGTTCATTAACCTTCCTCTGCGACAAAACAGGTTTCTTTCCCTCTACCACTACGTATGTACATTAACCTTCCTCTGTGACAAAACAGGTTTCTTTCTCTCTACCACTACGTATGTACATTAACCTTCCTCTGTGACAAAACAGGTTTCTTTCTCTCTATACCACTACGTATGTACATTAACCTTCCTCTGTGACAAAACAGGTTTCTTTCTCTCTACCACTACGTATGTACATTAACCTTCCTCTGTGACAAAACAGGTTTCTTTCTCTCTACCACTACGTACGTACATTCTCCTTCAGTCAAAGGCCTTGTTACTGTACATACACTTTTGCACAAATTGCAGAAAATGAGTTCCATAATGTTGGTCAAGTTTCACTCACTACTTCACATTTATATACAGCTGCATGCGAGAGAAATGAGCAATAAGTGTGTTTTAAGCTCTCCCTCGTTACTAGGTACACCCCTCTAATCACCAAGGGTTACATAACCCGGAGGATTGCCATAGAGTATGCGGTTCCCCTGGTGACAGACATCAAGTGTGCCAAACTGCTGGTGAAGAGTCTGGCCTTCCTGAACTGCCAGGCTCCTCCTCTGAAGACGTTCACCGACTGTATTTCGTCTCATCGCACGCTCAGACTCCCCGGACTTATCGACACTCACGTACACGTCAGGGAGCCAGGTGGGTGGAGCTTATTCTCACATTTTAAACCATCATTTTCCCCGTACAATGTTTCCCTCTTTCTCCAAATCAGGTCAGACTCACAAGGAAGACTTTGCGTCTTGTACGGCGGCGGCTCTGGCAGGTGGAGTCACCATCATCGGAGCCATGCCCAACACACACCCTCCTGTGGTCGACAAGGACTCTCTCACTCTCGCTCAGAAGGTGAGGGAGGCAGAGAGGGATTAGTCTTATACTGTGTGCATATTGACTTTTCCGGAAACTGGAAACAGAATCCCAGCTGTGTCTGTGTGGGCAGAGAATGCAGTACCCTATTGCATATACATACATACTTCCCATTTTGCTTATTGCAATATCAGAGTAAGGGATTATTTCTGCATTATATATCTGAGTTTACTAAACGAAGGTCACGAAAGGACAGAAGGTGTTATTGCCACACCTGTTTGTCAGTCCTACGCTACTTTCACAGCTGCATAGACGCACACATAGAGTGGGACACAAATCCTGTTTCACCACTTTTGTTTTTCTCCCTCCTCTCTCCATGCAGTGTGCTAGGGCAGGAGCGAGGTGTGACTATGGGCTCTACCTGGGGGCCTCGGAGACCAACGCCTCCACCCTCCCTCTCCTCTCTCCCCAGTCACTGGCTCTCAAGATGTACCTCAACACAACCTTCTCCACTCTACAGCTGCCCTCCATGGAGACGTGGATGAAGGTGAACTCCTTTAGTCAACTTTCATGAGATGGCAGCATTTTCCACTGCGACCCTCGAATTAGATTTATGGCTGAATGTGTAAATTTGATCAATTTATTTTGTTGTGTGACACAAAAAATCTTGTGCATATTCAAAGTATGGGTATATATATATGATGGTCCATGTTGCAGGCAAAAGACAATACTTCAATTTTCATGCAACTTGTTCCATGGATCCATCAAACCCATTGACAGTATATATATACTCCTCTTCCTCTCCTGTTTCGTCCAGCATTTCGAGAAGTGGCCCAGCAGCCGTCCTCTCTGTGTGCATGCAGAGGGGGAGACAATGGCAGCTGTCCTCCTGCTGGCTGACCTCTACAAGAGACCAGTCCACGTCTGTCATGTGGCTCGCAAGGAAGAGGTTAGAGGTTTGATTATACTATCTCTATGGACATGTGGAAACGTCTTGTAAGGACACCTTTTCTTTCCCCAAGAACAGTTCTTGCATGCAATTTAACCCCTGAAATGAAGACACCTTACTAATATGGACACTACCATTGGTGTGTGGACTAGAGTTCCACTTTTCGACCAGCTCATACTATGACCATTTGTTCCTCATTTCTCACCCTAACCCACAGATCTCAGTCATCAGAGCTGCCAAAGAGAGAGGTCTGCCTGTCACTTGTGAGGTACTGTATATCCAATCCAATATGGCCAAAATCCAACTTTCCTTCAATTTCGATATGATCCCGCAGTAATGTAATCTTTGTCAAAATGGTGTATAGTCTCCTCCCTCATCTCTCAGGTGTGTCCTCACCACCTCTTCCTCTGCAACGAAGACGTCGTTACCATAGGAACAGGGAGGTCAGAGGTCAGACCGGTACTCTGTTCCCGTGACGACCAGCAGGCCCTGTGGGACAACCTAGACATCATTGATTGCTTTGCTACTGATCACGGTATGTATGTACAAGAGATGAAAATTCTATTTTTAGTACTACTGTGCCATTCACCGTGATCACATGACCCCAGCTCCCCATGCGGTGTCAGAGAAGGACTCGTCCAGCCCTCCACCTGGCTTCCCTGGTCTGGAGACCATGTTATCTCTCCTCCTGACTGCTGTGGCTGAGGGCAGACTCACTCATCAGGTAACATTACCATATCACTGGCAGCGGATTTTAGTGAGTGAAAAAGGAGCACCAGTTGGATGCACGTGCAAGTGAAACATTTCAGCGGGCTACATACCAGTCATTAGAATGAGGTGTAGGTAGCAGTGTGGCGGCAATTCAAAATTGTTCTATTCAGAAAACCTGGTGTACAGTGTATAGGCTTGTTTCACTCACTGACACATCTGGAGTGGAATGTCTGAAACTTGTTTATCAAACTGGTGTTGTAATGTGTATTTCTCATTGCAGGATATTATTCTTCGTTTGCACACGAACCCTCGCAAGATATTTGGTATCCGTGAGCAACCGGACACATACGTGGACGTTGATATTGATGAGGAGTGGACGATCCCGTCGTCCCTCCCTCACTCCAAGTCCAAGTGGACACCATTTGCAGGGAGAAGGGTAGTGGGGAGAGTGACGAGAGTGGTCCTGCGAGGAGAAATCGCCTACATCGACGGAAAGGTGTGCAGTGTAACCTCTACATAAGAGACACCTGAGTTAGGAGTAAGACAGACAGGGGGTTTGTTCAAAACATTGTCTTTTCACCCATCCTGCACAAAACACTTGCAAGATGGTGAAAGTTTTGAACTGTAAAAGACCAAGTTATGAACAAGATATGTAGAAGTAAAAGACAAGGTTTTGAACAAGATAGAGCTTTGAACGGGATGGGATTTGGTGTTAGATTAGGAGAAAGGCAAAATGCTTTGCATTTTTTAGTGTCAAAATGTGTCTCCCTTCATCGCACACACGCCCACAGGTACTGGTGGAGCCAGGGTTTGGTGAAGATGTGATGCTCCAGCCAGCTGCCTCCCCTCCCTCCCTCCCCTCTCCCTCCTCCCCTCCCCGCACCAAACACCCCAGCTACGTCGAGCCCGGCTCACGGTCTCCACGGAAACAACGAGTCAGACATGCCTCCGAACCCTCTGCATCTGGTGAGAGAATCTGTGCCTCTCTTTATTTCTCTTCTCCCATTCCTAATTTTTCTATGGACACCTGAATTTGTCTGCATTTTAGGCTGGCAAATGTAAAATGTCTACAAATTTTGGGGCTGAAAATCCACAATTCTAAACGTTTTGATTTTGGAATGTTTTCTTCAGCAGTTCTTCCTCCTCTCCAGACAAGCACCACTCTCTATCACCTCCTCCTCCTGCCCACTACCAACACAAACAACGGGGGGAATCCCCTCTGGTCTCTGGCCACACTTCCTTGTTTGCAATTCCAACGACATCATCCTCAACTCACATGACGTCACACAGCAGTCTGTACATGAAGCACGTTCTGAGCTCCACTCAGTTTAGTAGGGAGCAGCTGCATCATGTCTTTCAGGTCAGAGTTCATCCACAGTGTATGTATACATATACAGTGGGACGTGAAAAGTTCGCTACCATAGAAACCCTCTCTTTTTTAAGGACACCCCTGAAATGAGGACACCTTTTTCCAACAGCTGTTGCATTCATTTTAACCCTAAAATGAAGAGCCTGCCACTTCCTTGTGTCCCAAGGAAGATTGGTTAGAAAGATTCTCAATTTGTGAAAAACTCTCTCTGTCAGGTGGCCCATGAGATGAGGATGGCAGTGGGGAGAGTTGGATCTCTCGATATCATGAAGGTTAACCTGTACTACTAATGCAATTTCCATCTCGAACTCTGGAAGGTTCAGGAAAGCATTCTCCCTATCTTCTTCCTGCCACAGGGCAAGCTACTGGGACTGCTGTTCTACGAGGCCAGCACAAGAACCTCGTGTTCATTCCAGGCCGCCATGCTGCGTCTAGGAGGAGGCGTGGTCCCTCTGAACGTGGAGTCCTCGTCTGCCAAGAAAGGAGAGAGTCTTGAAGGTTGGGTGACAGTGTTATGACTAGTGCTGGAGTTTGGGAAACATGAATTGGCCACTAAAAGAGAATGTGTGGTGTGTGTATTTCAACATGCTTTCCTCACCTACTCATTTTACCATAAAGAAATGGTTGCATGTCGACCTCCCTGTATTGATGTTCCTCCAGATACTGTAAGTATGATGCAATCTTACTGTGACGCCCTGGTTCTGAGACATCCGGAGCCTGGAGCTGCCCAGGTTTAGCCACACATTACAGTACATTGCACACACATGAATAGGCCCCTCCCTCCCCCCATCTCCAGCGAGCCATTCGAGTAGCCCACTGCCCCATCATCAACGCTGGAGACGGAACAGGCGAACACCCAACTCAGGCCCTCCTGGACATCTTCACAATACGAGAGGAGATCGGCACCGTCAACAGACTCACCGTTAGTTACTCTGTCTCGTTTCCATGGTTACTATAGGAATAGGTGGTTACCATTGAAACAGGCTCGCTCACATTTAGCATCTTTTTGATGGTACATTTATGTGTATTTGCTCGATGTGTCACCATGGAATTATGACGACAGGCCTGGACCACAATTTAACAATCTACAACAAGATATATACAGCCGGTCCTACTTGATTCTTGTCACTGTATGACGTAATACCACCTTGACGAGGTATAACTATGTTTAACCCCTTGGTTCCCAGATCACGCTGGTGGGGGACCTGAAGCATGGCAGGACGGTACACTCTCTGGCAAGACTCCTCACTCTCTATGACGTCACACTGAGATACGTGTGTCCCAAAGGACTGGAGATGCCTGAAGAGGTGACGCGGTTTGTGTCCGGCAAAGGTGTAAGACAGGTTAGTCCTCTCTAGTAAATGGTTACTGTGTGTAATGTAAGCACATACATAAACACTGCCACGGATAGCAGATCTTTTGGTTGGTGCATTAACTGTCTGTGCTTCCCCTCTCCCTTCTTGGGTCCGACTGTAATGAATGGGTCTATGCCATGTGACGTGCCCATTTTATTCCTGCAAATTTGTTGGTTGGTGCATGCGTGTGCGTCTGTTGCATATGTCATTTCTGTTCCCCCTTCCCCCTCCTCTCCAGACGTACATGACTCTAGACAAGGCTCTCCCGGACACAGACGTACTCTACATGACACGACTGCAGAAAGAACGATTCTCGTCTGCTCGGGAATATGACAAGGTCAGAGGTCAAGAGGGTTTCAGTCTCTTTATGTTTCACATGATATTTCATGTGTATACTGAAAGAGCAAGAGATGTATATAAAAACTGTACAGCAACGTATACAAACTGTCGATCACAATGTCTTGTGTGTCACCGTTGGGATGTGTCCTGTTGTTGCCATGGCAGCTGCGAGGGAGTTATGTCCTGACTCCGCAAGTCCTGACAAGGGCCAAGGAGAAGATGGTCATTCTTCACCCTCTCCCTCGGGTCGACGAAATCAGGTGGGATTTCAATATTACTCTCTATTTATTCACATCCTTTAAAATTAATGCGAACTCTTTGATTTGTGGTGTGTATTCAGAATGTGTTTTTACCCTCGGCGCGCATGCGCAGCGAGGGTACTGTAGTTGGGTTTGTCTGTCTGTCTGTCTGTTACTCTCAATCTCACTTCTCGAATGTCTATTCGTCTCACAAACGATACAACCTACTTAACCGGCAATGAAGGTCAGAAATTTCGAACGGTTTTCTCTGAAAATGCTCCGTTGCTAAGCTAGAGCGCTTCCAGCATTGTATGGCAAATGCCTGTAGTCGCCATTTTATGGCTGGCGGCCTAATGCGCATGCGCTTATATTTAGCACAGGACCGGGTCTGCTTGCTCTGTCTATCTTGAAGGCACAAGAAGTCACAACGAGTGTCGTGTATCGACTATCGTGTGCTATCTACAACTATAGCTAGCCCGCGTCAGACTGTCTGCGAGCTACTTCGCCGAGGGTTTGCACTTTAGTGCTTTTCATTCTTATTTGTATGGCACTTGTTGGAAAAATGGATGTCAATGCTAAATTTGAAATTAAATTTTTGTCACCTCTGCTGACTCGTTTTTCCCTCTTACTGTTGTCCCATGCACTGCACTGCATCTGGCTAGCTGAAACCAGGAGTTTGATATTACTCTCTAATTATCCGTGTCTCCACAGTGTGGAGGTGGACTCTGACCCCAGAGCTGCCTATTTCAGACAGGCTCAGTTTGGTATGTACGTCAGAATGGCCCTCCTTGCCGTACTCCTGGGCGCAGCCTGATGAACACTATGACCTCATAATGACGTAATAGATGTTGTCACGGCAACTCACATATGACATCATCATTAGCCATGAAACTGTGTTGTACTGTGATTGGTAATATTATAATAATATTTGTGAAATTACAACCTGTTGTAAGAAAAATGTATTATCTCTGATTCAGCTGTTATAATTATGATCATAATTAATTTTTTGGGTGAGAAAAATGAGTTAATGTGTCAAATATCGGAGGGAAAGTGATTTTTGAATGGTCGATGACTTGATGTGTCGACACTTCAGGAAGAGAATAGATCACATGCCTAGAACTGCCTTTATCCAGCTGTGCGTGGGGAGAGAGGCAGAGAGAGTTAAAAACACCAAAAAAATGTGAATATGTACTGCTCAACAAAAGCTTTTACAAAGAGATGATGAAGAGAAAAGGGAATGCAGCTGAATTTATTCTCTGCATGTGCCACAAGTTCTCTCTCCCCTCACCTGTTATATCTGACAACTCTGGCATAGAGTCCATACTTCTTGGCATTCCCACAGCCCACTCCATTGTTGACGACCCCAAACACCTTCCACCTTCGACCTCGCTCGCACACCAGAGGTCCTCCGCTGTCATTCTGACAGGAATCAGGTCCACCTCCCTCGAACCCTGCACACAGGTGCTTTCTGGTCACCGCGTTGCCATAGGCATCCTCGTGACGACAGTTACTGGGGGAGAGGCGATAGATTTTGAAGTTGTTCCACAATTTAGGCCTTAGCAATTACCTGTAGTTGACGAGAGGGACAAGGGTGTGATGGAGGATGCTAGGGGAAGGTCCCTGGTCATAGTCGAGATGACCCCACCCACTGACGTAGCAGATGGTCCCAACTGGAGGGTCGCTATTGACAACGGGGAGACAGGCTGGCCGGACGGCAGTGTTCAAGATGGCAGGATAGCGGAGTTTCACCAGAGCTATGTCATACTCTGGTGCCTGCGTGGGGCAGTAGAGAATAGATTATCAGAAGCCACACCTCTCTACTCATAGAATGGATAATACAAACTACTTTCACACTATTCCTTTTGATGGGTTCATATTGTGGCGTTCCCAACCTTGCGCGTGACTACGCTTTTCCCCTATTTCTCGACTCTGACTGAGTCTCAACATACATTATGCTGTTTATATGAAAGATTACATAATGAGCTAGTCAGTGTGTACAGATGCTACAAGATTAACTGTACATACCTTGTTAACGAGAAGCTGGAAGGAAGTGTTGTAGTCAGGGTGAGGCCGAATATAGTCCACAGCAAGCAGTTGCTGACTGGGTTCAGAGGTCGACGAGCGATTGACCACACCCACTCTCACAACAAGGTCTGACGGCTCCAACCAACGATGGCCGGCGTGAAGACAATGAGCCGCTGTCATCAACCAATCAGGTCGCAGGAGAGTCCCACCACAGAGTTTGTCACTATGGCGATACCTGTACTCTATGAGCACCTGCCAGGGGTAGTGCTCCGGGGACGTGACCTCTGACCCCTGAGTAATTCTCTTCCTCCGTCGTCCATCTTCCCCTCTCGTCTCCTTCACACACCCACACACGTCCTCAGCTCCCCACACTCCCAGCAAGGTGGTAGCACTCTGCCTCCCTCGAGAGTTCTCAGCTATACATTCATACACTCCACCATCATTCTCAGCTACCTGTGTAATATTGCATTGCGTGTATTATCAGCGATGTATGAGAAAAGCACCTAGGGAAGCTGTTCTTTGGGTGTAGTTGACTTGTTTGTTGTCTTTAGTTACACAACCATACATGCACGCATGCACCAAGGTACGCATGTCTGCATGCACACATGTACGAATCCATACATACTAGTCCATCAATGTAAGGGGAAGTGTAGGATGTTGGTGCATCCACAGACAGGCACATGTATATAAGCATGCAAGCATACATGCACGCATGTATGTATGCATGTGCCATAGCACAGTGGTTTGAGGTTTGCCTTGTGTTGTAGATTCGAACCCCTAACAGCTGAGTTGCCCTGGTAGCTCAGTTGGTAGAGCGCTCGCCTAGACTACAGAGTGTCGTGGGTTCGAATCCCACCCAGGGCAGCTTCTTTTCTTTGAAAAGAAAGAGCTGTCCTGGGTGTAGTTGACTTGTTTGCCTTGCCTTGCCTTTCTACCTCGCTACCTCGTTGATACATAATATGTATGTATGTATGGCAGCCCCGAACCACCCTGCACATGCACCAATGACTACCAAGAAAAGCCACGAGGCACGAGGCATAGTCTGTGCACACTGCATATGCCTAGTAGTAAAGGGAAGATGAGGATATGAAACTTACTGAGTGAATTCTGAGAGTGTTGTTGCTGTCCTGTCGGAAATGTTGCTGCCACTCCCCGGTCCCTAACACTGCTTGCTGACAGAGTGAGAGAGAGAAAGAGGAAGCTTTGTGGAACCCCTCTCTAAGTACAGCCCTGACAGCTCTATCATTTTTCTTTGCCCAAGAACAGTTTCTTGCAACCTCTCCAATATGGACACTGTTTTGCAGAATAGCTCTTCTTATATACTACTCTACTGTAATGCATATGTGTATACCTAAATCACTAGTATTATAATTATACCTGTGGCGCTCTGCCTGCAGTGATGCTAACATTGTCCTTAGTCCACCAGACCCTCGGAGCCGGGTTCCCGGTCACTACACAGAATATCTCCACAGTGTAGCCTGCTGTTGCTCTCAGACAATGGTGGGGTCGATGGAGGAACACTGGTCCAAACAGCTTACCTATTACAATACAAATGGAAGTGTTGTTTTTTCACAGCTAGTCGCTTTTTCATTCCACTAGGGCTAGGGCAAGTATTCTTCACTGTTTTTTGTTAAGAGCATTCTTTTTCAGACCTACTTCTTCACTTCTCAAACTTGCTAACGGTAGCACTCATGGAGATGAAACTTGGTATATGCGAAAGACAAAAAACAACTAAAAATAAAAAAAAAACGCTTTAAGGAGAGAATTCAAAATTTGTGCATACAAACCACTTTGTATTCCTCAAGTACCTAAATACTCTTTTAGCCATTGAAATAATATAAATATTTCTGCATGTTCAACTGATGATAAAAATCTGACCCCTGACCTCCAACGACAGTCTCAACAGATGCTCTGTTCCTCTCGTCTCGTGACACATCCTCCAGAACCCTGCACCCTTCTGGCGTCGTGGTGGTAATAGGACCCGTTGCTAAGCTACATGCCGGAGAGGAAGAGGTGGAATTATCAATAGAGTCGTTTGTGTCTGAGACGCATAGCGACGCGGCAACCGATCCTGCAGTGGGTTGACCGTTGTGAGTTACAATCAGTTGAACGCTGGCCGACGACGTGCCGGCTGGGTTGCTAGCAGAGCAGGTATAGCAGCCACTGTCTCCATGGAGAGCAGTGTCAATGAATAGGGAACCGTTCTCCAGGACCGAGTATCTCGACCCTAGTTGTGAGTAAGGAGAGAAATGGAAGGGTAAGGAGGGAGAAAATAATGAAAAGTGATGTGTGCATAGAGAAAAAGGTACAAAATATTAAATAAGTGAGAAAACAGCAGTGACATCTTTGCAAAATGGCCTTTATCAGGAGGTGCCACTTATTGTAAGGGGAAACACCATGTGTCCATATAGAGAGGTGGTGTGCATGGTTGAAGTGTCCTCTTTCGTATTCTTTCATTCCTGGACAAGTTCTTACACGTTCCACTTCTCTACACCCTATATAACTCGATCGAGACAGACGGGACCTAAGATTTGTTCAAGGAAGAGACTTGCTAAGTGTGTTACGTACTCAGACTGGTTCCATTGCTATTGGCGACGATTCTTCCACTCTTGGTCCAGGTAATGATGTCATTTCCCTCACACATGACATCACACCTGACAGTGACGAGGGTCCCAGCTATCACAGTCTGTATGAGAGGTACATTGGACACCACTGGAGCTACTGTAGTGGAAAAGAGAAATACCGGCAATTGAACAGTTAAAATTCAATATCAATATTGGTGATGACATAACGGGAAGGGTCAATCAGTCATTACGTAACAGAAAGGGGGGAGAGAATTAACATCACTGAGCCCCAACAGACTGACTTTTGCCTCACACAACAAACTTGTGGATTCTGTTGTCTACTGCAGCAGTTGGATGGTGTTTATAAGAAAACTACATGTATTCTGTATTACTTACTGTGTAATTCAGTTCTGCCAGCCTCTCCCCACCGACTAGAGTTATAGCGACATTCATACACTCCCTGATCACCGCAGCCAATGTTATTAATCTGCAGCAATCCCTTCTTGCGATACTGACGGTATTTCTTAGTCCCCTCGGTGACTATCACCTCCCCATCCTTCAGCCACTCTATGTGACCTTTTGGCCGAGTGGACTCCGCCTCTTCGTCCACCTGTTGCCATGGAAACATCACCGCAAACAGAGTTATTATCGTAATCCTGATTCCTAAAACACCTCTAAGAAACGACAGAGTATTTCTGAGATCAGGTAGTATAAGGGCAGGGTCATTTGCCAGACAGGAGGTGTTTGTTATGTCTGGTTCTGCCATACCACACAATAATCTCATTAGATGAGCACAGGGTCGGAGGAATGCAATCAATGACGTAATTGGAATTTTGAACTAAGGTCAAGAGTCACAACATCATCCCTACACCAACAGCTGTACTGGAAAGCTGTACCATACGGTGGATGGGGGAAAGAAATGCTTTTAATGTATTATGTTTGATTGCATAACAATGTGTTATGCAATCAAACAAACAATCAATGTGTTATGTTTGATGTTATGTTTGATTGTATAAGATTGTATAATTGTTTCATAAGATTAGTGCAGTAAATCATATTGTAGCTGCTGCAGTAAGTGGTATAGTAATCAGGTTACAATGCTGTCATTTAGTGACCAGCACTGAATAGATTAGTCTATATACAGGTGTGGTGCGTAGCCATGGAGAGCACCTATGGGGTGGTGTGGCTTGTTTGGTGCAAACAAAATGTAGATACAGAGACCATCCAATGAGATGGGAAGGAAGGGAGGGGAGGTAGAGAGGTTAGAGATACAGAAAGGAGGTAGGCAAGGAAAGACCTCAAAAGAACTGCATGAAACTGAGTTGCAAAAATGCTGCATAAACCTTAAAGATGGCCATTGCTCTTTGTCTGGTGTTTGTATTGTGTTGTATATGGATTTGAATCCCACCCAGGGCAGCTCTTTTTCATTGTTGTTGAGTTGTGTGGTTTACTGCCTTTGCCCTAATCTGTTGCGGACACATGTGTCAATGCATACTCACCTCTCTACAAGACAAGTTGAAAGAGGTGGAGCTGGGAGAGTAGGGGAGGAGGAGAGAGGGAGGAAAGATCTGCAGACTTGCTTCACTAACGCACACCAGCACTGGAAGAACAGAAGAACATTGCAAACTTACAATGCACACACTTTGGGAATGTCAATATTTCAGTGTGTATTAACCTCGAAGACTAGACGGTTGTTAATGTATATACGTGAATAGATAAGATCTGTGTTCTGGTGGTTATGTAACATGGGATAAGGAGTGTGGGATAGCTGCACTGGCACAGTTACACACACAGAGAGAGAGAGGGCAGAAGAGAGGGAGTTACAAACACTTCATTAGGCAGCCACAAGGGAGAGATCTACAGCGCAGTACAGCTGGTTGACTGGTAATTGACGAGTGTCAGATTGTGAATGAAAATAATATTAGTGGACCGACCTATGGAAATATGATCTGTTTGTCACTAACAGACCTCATGATTTAATTGCCTGAGAGGTGCTAGAGCACTTGGCAGCCTGAGATGACTGCATACCATGGGATAGATAACTCTAGGTTGAATGGGCAATGATGATCGGATTTGACTTGAAGGTTAAAGAGCTGTTTCGATGTGTTTTTATCAATAGACTACTTAACAAAAGAAGAAATGTTAAGTCATTGGTAAAATTTAATAATGAAGCCAATGCTGTACAACTGGCTTATAAGGGTGTTAAAACTGGCACTGGTATGGTGAGGATCTTGATCACTGAATTAGATTGTTTGATGTGGTTGACTGGCGATTGTCTTGGGATTGATATCAAGCTAAAGACTTTATCCATACCTTACAATAAATCTTTCTTTCATGGTTTTATACCTCCAGCTTAGTCTAAGGCTCCATTCACTGTCATTGCTGAGCAAGCTATAGGCATTGCAGTCTCAGTGTCTATCTACTGTTAACCTTTCCTTCAGACCTTTCCGGTGCTAACCTTTAAGCCAATAAACAAAGTGTCAGTTTAGTCTACGTCTCCATTTACACACAACCCTTCTAAAGGCCGTGAAATTTTGACTACATCCCATTAGGCATCGAGATTTTAACCCCACCTTTTCAAGCCCATGTTAATTTACAACAAACTTATTTTAACAGCCTACTGCCATAGTTCCAGCTCATACTTACAAGGTCCTAGCAACAGCTTGTGATATTGGCAAAGAGGCGACCCTTCGAGAACACTTGGCTCTCAGGCCAAGTTGAAAGAAAGGCTGCACGTGTTGCCATCACAGAGGGACTGACACAGTAGCTAGCTAGCAGCCCATACAGTCACAAGCCCTTGGCTGAAGTTGGAAATTAGCCCAAATGTGAGTAGCATTTGGAGAGCTTTGTTTTGCCACTTGCCTTTCTAGACAATGCTGCTATTGGGAACTTAATAGTTGCCATGTCAAGGGTTTAGGTAGGTTTTTTCCATAGTTGTAATTTTTTTTCCACTTGCACAAAATAAGTAGTATGCTTTGAGTGTGTACTATAGTCACTTCAATATTGTGAAGGAGGTGAAGTTCAAAACTGGATTTTCCTAAAATTTCAACAAGCAAACCATCCACCAAAATACTTTCTGCGAACTTCTCATCTTGTAACGGGTATCAAAAGCAAAGTTTTACACCCGCATACAGTAACTGTATGTCACGAGGTGAGTTTTATCCAAACCTCTTGTAGACAGCAAGATTTGCTAGACCACACCAAATAAGGAGAGACAGTGTGTAGGTAAGGATCTAAGGGAGAGAGGCAGACGTGGACAGAGACACAGCTGTGACCGGCCCAGTTGCCCAGGACAACAGCTGAGAGGCATTGCCTCACTGCCCAATGCCAACACCGCAGTCATGGTATGCCTCAACTGGCAGGAAGAACAGACTATGTATATAGGATCCTGCGCCAGAGGATTCCATACCAAAAAAACACAATGACCTAACGTAGAAAACAATCTTTACTGATCATGCTCATCACAAGTGGAAAGCATGTCTTTAGTGGTGTGGCTTATACTGTTCTTTTTGCACTTATAATTTACAGAATTCTCATCCATCCCCAAATGACTAGCAATTCAGTGCACTAATAAAGGTGTGTCTGGAATGGAGCTCAAATACTAGAACTTGTGTCTGGTTCTTGCATTCATTAACTGGTGCAGCTATCATCATTATTATAATACATTTCTCACACATTCAGACTAAGTGTTATGCAATTTTGTGTAAGGTTCTAATTTGGCCTGTAGGACTTGGGTGTCAAAAAGCGGGGGCTATTGCTCCGCATTCACGAATTCTTATCGCTTCCATTGTCGCGAACTCGTCAGTTTTTTACAACTTGCTATTGTCACGTGATCATCTTACATCTAATTCTCACACATTTCCTTGCGGAGACTGCATACCATTGCAAAGCAGGTGAAAAAATACAGCAGCTAATACCGCCACAGTGCAGGTAACTCACTAGCTGAAGCTGCAAGTATCATCAAAATGTTATTTTCTTCGCGTTGGCTAGCGGTAAACTGGGACCACCAGTTGAGGACTTTCATCATTGCGACTGAAGTACTCTGCGACTGAAGCAACTGGGAAGGTTTATAGCTGTGAGATTCTACCGGAGCCTGCTTTGGTCTTTTATACCGACGGTCCCTGCAGCGAGCGCGAGACGCAACCGCGACCGCGCGAGCGGACCAAGCAATAGTGCGCATGCGTATTAGCGTCACTATTTGTGCGGCGGGTTCGCATCCGCGATGTTGAAAGGAGATGTCAAATTCTTAATGTCTTAATCAAGAAAGACGACCTATTTTGCAAGAAACCCGAGATATTGGTATTTCATGTCCTTCGCCTTTGTAGCACTGTATAAGGATGACAAGGATGTAGTGTGCAAGTGCTTCTTGTGTCATAAAAGACGGAATGTGAGAGGACAGAATCTTGGAGGAATCAATGAGAGGTTGTGGGGACTCTTAGATTTGGTCGTATGGCAGGGTTGGAGCAACAGAAACTCATAAAGTGGTTTGGTCTCTCTGGTATTCTTCTACTTATAGCAAAACCTGACGGACTGCATAATTACAGCTCTTCAAAATATGGATTGAATCACTGTCTTATCCTAATTAACAGTTCTTGCAGCTGTGCATGCATGCATTTCATTGCCCACCTCGTGCTTGCTACTGCACCCAGCAAAGCCACGGATATGTAAATATACAATCTTTTGCAAGTTGCATGAGTTGGTCGTTTGTCTCTATTACAAGTATCTCGTGCAGGTTTGCTAACACACCACCCAGCAGGTGAGATCTCTGACAATACTGTTCAAGGTGCAGGAGATGCATTGTTTTGGCGTTTCATTATTCCTAACGATTAATTTTTGTTCAGTGACCATCCCATAAATGACCAGCAGAGAGAGAGAGATCTGAGATTTTTTATATATACTAGGTTATGGGGAGTGTGGGAACATTTGGCACTGCAAAATTGAGAGCAAGAAGGGTATAATATCCCATACATCCAGATACCATGTAACATGCCCATCCCTGTACTAAGTATGGTATATATAGCTATACCATACTTAGTGATAGTGATGGATAATATTTCAGTATTATGTATTGTGTTACTAATGTCTGTCACTTGATACACGATGTATCCCACTAAACGTTATTGAATTACATAATTAGATCACACGTGTGTATGGCATCTATTTCACCCACAGCTATGGTCAAGGGCGTGTGATGCTGAGTATGTACCACTCTTTGCTCTTTCGCAATTACTGCGTCTGATACTCCGACTCTTTCTCATCGTCTGCAATGCTGTGCCTCAGTAGGCTCAAAGACTAGTAACAATGCTGTTTTGACGAGCATGAGGTGATGAAAGACACCAAAGCGTGAGAGGTAAATGTGTAACGAAGGGTTAATTGGGGGGAAGAACGCAGTGAGGGGTAAAGGTGTGAGGATGTGATCGTTTAATTAACAGGGAGGGACTGCCGTTAATGAACCACGGAATTTTTTCAACAAAACGCCTACCCATTAGCAGGACAGGTTTTACGTGACGGTCACTGGAGGTCAAAGTTCAGCTACTATACCTTCAGCTTTCAAAACTGGGAATGGTTCAGTGTGCCGAATTAGGCTGCAGGGTTAGCCTATACACTGTCATATCACCATGGGCTTTAGACTAAACACCTTTTAATTTATGGCCTTTGAAGTACGAGGGATTAGTAGTCAGTGGTCAACAGAGCAGTGGCGGAGGGTTCACAAGAATATATGCCTCTCCCTCTTCCTCCCTATATAGTCTATAGTTAGTGTAGTACACAGGTGGACTCTTTGAGTTAGCTCTCTCTCAGGCAGGTTGGCTCCTGAACCCAGTCAGAGGATGCCATAGTGTGTAGGTCACAGGAAAGGCACTACCGGTGTACCACTAAAACGTGGTTCAGAACTACTATGTCACCCTCTCTTCCTCTGTACCCAGACTTCATAAGAGTAATTGGAAGAGTAGAGAGAGAAAAGATAATCCTGCCATGGTAAGGTGGAGATTAAGCTTTTCAAAAGAGGGGAAGCCTGGGTAGATGGAAGACTGCAGGAAGATAGTACTTCTGAACCACGCTGGCATACATGAGGTGAGTGCAGGAGGTTATGTAAGATGATGTCATATTTGGTCTTTGCTGCCATAGCTACAGGGTCCAGGATAATGGTTTCCAACACAAACATCACCTCTCTTCCTCCGCCTCTTTATACTTAGCCTCCTTGTAGATAGTGTATATATAATTATTATAACCACTTAGCTCCTGACGTAATCTTATCATAGGCGTTGATGAATAATTATATAAGGTGGTGAGATTATATATACTGGACAATAATAGGGTAATTGTTGAGGTACCTAATCCACTTACCTACCAAACTATAGAGTGCTGATCTGTTTTCCTTCCTTCTTATACTATTCCTCCTTGCTCCAGCAATCATGTATTCTGCGTAGTTGTTAAGTGGTTTATGGGTGAGTAGGTATTACTAACAAACATCACTACTTGTAGCATGACATGATAAGAAACAGCAACAATAAGAGAGAGGGCGAGATGATGGAATAAAATGTCTGATATTACAAGCATTTTGTAAATTAATCTGAAAGAGAGAAGAAAAGAACAGCAAGTGTAATAGCTGATTAGAATCAGTGTTTGGTTTGAAAGGGAGCTATGTATGTGCGATCCTCGAAGCACTGGCTGACAAAGAATTCCTCCAGCTGCCACTCCAGTGCCTCGAACCTCACTCTGCTGTCAGACTCTGCACACCAGCATTTCAGCATAACCTCGTACAGTCCTCTGGGGCAGCTGGGTGGCTGCGACATGCGGTACCCTGACTGGACGGCTTTCAGGGTCTCCTCGTTAGTCATGTGATTGTAGGGGCGACCCCCTCGGGTGATAATCTCCACGAGAACAACACCGAAAGCCCAAACGTCTGCCTTATTCGTGTACTCATTGGTGGCAAACACCTGTGAAAAAAGTGGAAGAGGGGAAGAAAAAAGAAGAAAAAACTGAGTACAATAATAATGTCATCGTGCCACACTAGGGACGTGGAGCATGGTAGGTGAAAACAAAGATAAGATATAGGAGGAGTCATACATACCTCAGGAGCCGTCCATCTCACAGGGACAGAGGTACGAGGTGGCAGCTTGTAGCACGAGGCTCGCCGCGCACGTTCGAAATTCTGAATCTTGCACAGCTTCCCCTCACCGACGGCAACGCTCCGAGCGGCCAGGTCACAGTGGATGTAGCCCTGCCTCTCCAAATAGGCCATCCCCATGGCAACTTGCAGGCCGAAGCTCACCAGATCAAGAAAATGGACGTCCTTCCCTTCTCCCTTCTGCAAGTAATCGACCAGGTTACCAAACTTTAGAAACTCTGTCAGTAGATATGCTGGTTCCTCCGATGAACATACTCCTTCGCAGTGGATGATCTTTGGGTGATCTAGCTGTGACAAAACAGTCGCTTCTTGCAGAAACTCGCTCTTCGAGGCCAGACCTTGATTTTGGATTTTCACGGCAACGTGGGTCTCTCCCTTCACGCCGTGCCAGATGTCCCCGTAGTTTCCCTTCCCGATTTTGTGGGTGAGTTGTATGTCGCCTCGAGAGACTTCGTCATCTCCACGTGGAACGTAATACGGGTGTCTTAGAGTTGTGACAAGAACACCGCTCGACTGGTGAGTGGTGTAGTGGTACACCAGGTCTTGCAGCATCTTGAACTTGGTTTGCTCGACGATGAAGAAGAGGCCGTCTTGGCTCTGGATCTTGTAGTGAGTGATGGAGTCTTTTCCACGGACTGTGAGACAGCGGGTGTCCTGACATTCGTCGTGGACTAGGAATGATCCTGCACACAGGGACATTTTTAAAACTAAACCTCATTGATGTTAGTTTTACCTAACATGGATGCATTTGGCTAATAGGTGTAGCGCTATGTCCCCCTAAGTGAGGGTGTCAACAATTTTGCATTTGTTGTAGGCACATGAGAGTAATAAGAGACAAACCAACTACCATTACTACTTTGACTACAGTTGAAGTATGGAATAGTAACAGATTTTTTCTCGCTGCACCCATTCCTATCTCGTCCAAATTTCGTTGCTCCCCTAGCTAAGGGTGTCACCATTTTTGCATTTTATTGTAGGCACATGAACGTAATAAGAGACAAACCAACTATCATTACTACTTTGACTACAGTTGGAGTATGGAATAGTAACATACTTTTACTCGCTGAACCTAATCCTATCTCGTCCAAATTTCGTTGCTCCCCTAGCTGAGGGTGTCAACAATTTTGCATTTGTTGTAGGCACATGAACGTAATAAGAGACAAACCAACTATCATTACTACTTTGACTACAGTTGGAGTATGGAATAGTAACATACTTTTACTCGCTGAACCAAATCCTATCTCGTCCAAATTTCGTTGCTCCCCTAGCTAAGGGTGTCAACATTTTTGCATTTATTGTAGGCACATGAGAGTAATAAGAGACAAACCAACTATCATTACTACTTTGACTACAGTTGGAGTATGGAATAGTAACATACTTTTACTCGCTGAACCTAATCCTATCTCGTCCAAATTTCGTTGCTCCCCTAGCTGAGGGTGTCAACATTTTTGCATTTATTGTAGGCACATGAGCGTAATAAGAGACAAACCAACTATCATTACTACTTTGACTACAGTTGGAGTATGGAATAGTAACATACTTTTACTCGCTGAACCTAATCCTATCTCGTCCAAATTTCGTTGCTCTCCTAGCTGAGGGTGTCAACAATTTTGCATTTGTTCTAGGCACATGAACGTAATAAGAGACAAACCAACTATCATTACTACTTTGACTACAGTTGGAGTATGGAATAGTAACATACTTTTACTCGCTGAACCTAATCCTATCTCGTCCAAATTTCGTTGCTCTCCTAGCTGAGGGTGTCAACAATTTTGCATTTGTTCTAGGCACATGAACGTAATAAGAGACAAACCAACTATCATTACTACTTTGACTACAGTTGGAGTATGGAATAGTAACATACTTTTACTCGCTGAACCTAATCCTATCTCGTCCAAATTTCGTTGCTCCCCTAGCTGAGGGTGTCAACAATTTTTGCATTTATTGTAGGCACATGAACGTAATAAGAGACAAACCAACTATCATTACTACTTTGACTACAGTTGGAGTATGGAATAGTAACATACTTTTACTCGCTGAACCTAATCCTATCTCGTCCAAATTTCGTTGCTCCCCTAGCTGAGGGTGTCAACAATTTTGCATTTGTTGTAGGCACATGAACGTAATAAGAGACAAACCAACTATCATTACTACTTTGACTACAGTTGGAGTATGGAATAGTAACATACTTTTACTCGCTGAACCTAAATCCTATCTCGTCCAAATTTCGTTGCTCCCCTAGCTGAGGGTGTCAACAATTTTTGCATTTATTGTAGGCACATGAGAGTAATAAGAGACAAACCAACTATCATTACTACTTTGACTACAGTTGGAGTATGGAATAGTAACATACTTTTACTCGCTGAACCTAATCCTATCTCGTCCAAATTTCGTTGCTCTCCTAGCTGAGGGTGTCAACAATTTTGCATTTGTTCTAGGCACATGAACGTAATAAGAGACAAACCAACTATCATTACTACTTTGACTACAGTTGGAGTATGGAATAGTAACATACTTTTACTCGCTGAACCTAATCCTATCTCGTCCAAATTTCGTTGCTCTCCTAGCTGAGGGTGTCAACAATTTTGCATTTGTTGTAGGCACATGAACGTAATAAGAGACAAACCAACTATCATTACTACTTTGACTACAGTTGGAGTATGGAATAGTAACATACTTTTACTCGCTGAACCTAATCCTATCTCGTCCAAATTTCGTTGCTCTCCTAGCTGAGGGTGTCAACAATTTTGCATTTATTGTAGGCACATGAGAGTAATAAGAGACAAACCAACTATCATTACTACTTTGACTACAGTTGGAGTATGGAATAGTAACATACTTTTACTCGCTGAACCTAATCCTATCTCGTCCAAATTTCGTTGCTCTCCTAGCTGAGGGTGTCAACAATTTTGCATTTGTTCTAGGCACATGAACGTAATAAGAGACAAACCAACTATCATTACTACTTTGACTACAGTTGGAGTATGGAATAGTAACATACTTTTACTCGCTGAACCTAATCCTATCTCGTCCAAATTTCGTTGCTTCCCTAGCTGAGGGTGTCAACAATTTTGCATTTGTTCTAGGCACATGAACGTAATAAGAGACAAACCAACTATCATTACTACTTTGACTACAGTTGGAGTATGGAATAGTAACATACTTTTACTCGCTGAACCAATCCTATCTCGTCCAAATTTCGTTGCTCCCCTAGCTGAGGGTGTCAACATTTTTGCATTTATTGTAGGCACATGAGAGTAATAAGAGACAAACCAACTATCATTACTACTTTGACTACAGTTGGAGTATGGAATAGTAACATACTTTTACTCGCTGCACCCATTCCTATCTCGTCCAAATTTCGTTGCTCCCCTAGCTGAGGGTGTCAACAATTTTGCATTTATTGTAGGCACATGAGACGTAATAAGAGACAAACCAACTATCATTACTACTTTGACTACAGTTGGAGTATGGAATAGTAAATATACTTT